CTATCTGTCTATCTATCTATTTGTTTGTTTGTTTATCTGTCTGCCTGCCTGCCTGCCTGCCTATCTATCTATCTACCTATCTATCTATCTATTTATCTATCTATCTACCTATCTATCTATCTATCTATCTATCTAATTGTTTGTTTGTTTGTCTGTTTGTCTGTCTATCTGTCTATCTATCTATTTGTTTGTTTGTTGGTCTGTTTGTCTACCTGTCTATCTGTCTATTTGTTTTGTTTGTTTGTCTGTCTGTCTATCTGTCTATCTATTTGTGTGTTTGTTTGTCTGTCTATCTGTCTATCTATCTATTTGTTTGTCTGTCTGTCTATCTATCTATCTATTTGGTTGTTTGTGTGTCTGTCTGTCTGTCTATCTGTCTATCTATCTATTTGTTTGTTTGTTTGCCTGTCCGTCTGTCTATCTGTCTATTTGTTTGTGTGCCTGTCTGTCTGTCTATCTGTCTATCTATCTATTTGTTTGTTTTTTTGCCTGTCTGTCTGTCTATTTGTCTATTTGTTTGTGTGTTTGTCTGTCTATCTGTCTATCTGTCTATCTATCTATTTGTCTATCTATATATTTGTTTGTTTGTCTGTCTGTCTGTCTATCTATCTATTTGTTTGTTTGCCTGTCTGTCTATCTATCTATTTGTTTGTTTGTTTGTCTGTCTGTCTATCTGTCTATCTATCTATTTGTTTGTTTGTTTATCTGTCTGTCTGCCTGCCTGCCTATTTGTTTGTTTGTCTGTCTGTCTGTCTATCTGTCTATCTATCTTTTTGTCTATCTATCTATTTGTTTGTCTGTCTATCTGTCCGTCTGTCTACCTATAAATGTGTTTGTTTGTTTGTCTGTCTGTCTATCTGTCTATCTGTCTATCCGTCTGTCTATCTATTTGTCTGGATATCTGTCTGTCTGTCTGTCTTGCTATTTCATTGTCTATCTGAGTCTATTTATCTATTTGTCTATTTGTCTATTTGTCTTTCTATCTATCTATCTATCTATTTGTTTGTCTGTTTGTCTGTCTATCTGTCTATCTATCTATTTGTTTGTTTGTCTGTCTGTCTACCTGTCTATCTGTATATTTGTTTGTTTGTCTGTCTGTCTGTTTGTCTGTCTATCTGTCTATCTGTCTATCTATCTATTTGTGTGTTTGTCTGTCTCTCTATCTGTCTATCTATCTATTTGTTTGTTTGTTTATCTGTCTGTCTGCCTGCCTGCCTGACTGTCAATCTATCTATCTGTCTATCTATCTATCTATCTATCTAATTGTTTGTTTGTCTGTGTGTCTGTCTATCTGTCTATCTATCTATTTGTTTGTTTGTTGGTTTGTTTGTCTACCTGTCTATCTGTCTATTTGTTTTGTTTGTTTGTCTGTCTATCTATCTGTCTATCTATCTATTTGTGTGTTTGTTTGTCTGTCTGTCTGTCTATCTATCTATTTGTGTGTTTGTTTGTCTGTCTGTCTATCTATCTATCTATCTATCTATTTGGTTGTTTGTGTGTCTGTCTGTCTGTCTGTCTATCTGTCTATCTATCTATTTGTTTGTTTGTCTGTCTGTCTACCTGTCTATCTGTCTATCTATCTATTTGTCTATCTATCTATTTGTTTGTTTGTTTGTCTGTCTATCTGTCTATCTATAAGTTTGTTTGTTTGTTTGTCTGTCTGTCTGTCTATCTGTCTATCTATCTATTTGTCTATCTATATATTTGTGTGTTGTCTGTCTATCTGTCTATCTGTCTATTTGTTTGTTTGTCTGTCTGTCTATCTATCTATCTATTTGTCTGTTTGTTTGTTTGTCTGTCTGTCTGTCTATCTGTCTATCTGTCTATTTGTTTGTTTGTCTGTCTGTCTGTCTATCTGTCTATCTGTCTATCTGTCTATCTATCTATTTGTCTATCTATCTATTTGTTTGTTTGTTTGTTTGTCTGTCTATCTGTCTATCTGTCTATCTATAAGTTTGTTTGTTTGTTTGTCTGTCTGTCTATCTGTCTGTCTATCTATTTGTTTGTATATCTGTCTGTCTGTCTGTCTATCTATTTAACTGTCTATCTGAGTCTATCTATTTGTCTGTCTATTTGTCTATTTGTCTATCTGTCTATCCATCCGTCCATCCATCCATGTATTTATATTGGTACGCATATCTATATTGATCTTTCCGGTCCTTTGTCAGGTGATTAGTGACATCGACGAGCAGGGCAGCTGGCATTCGGGCGACATTTCCGCAGCTCTGACTGAAGCGGTCACCAAGGTTGCCTCCGTCGCACGGGAGCTGTACCTGCCATGCAAGGTGCGGCTGTGCGTGGGCCAAATTTAACATCAACTTCGACAGCAACATCAACCAACATCAACCGGTAACAAACTAACTAAGTAGATAGCTAACTGACATCAACTGACTAGCTCCCTCACTAAATCTAAGACAATCTAAGCAACTTGACCCTATTTGAGGGCTGCATATTCCTGAATAGATGGATGATGCTTGGCTCTTCTGAGATGATTTGCGACTTTCAGGAAAATTGGACATGCACCAGCTGAATGATATAGCGAGGTTGCACTACAAAAGTCTGGTGTTTATATGTGTTTATCAAGTGCATGTCAGATGGATAAGGAGGCATCATCCTTCCAAAAGATGCCGAAGGGGAAGGCGAACGCAGGTGTTGAGCACGTTTGTTGATCATTCTTTATTCAGAGGGTACACATAGCCTAGCATTGTTGAGACATGGATGCCACGGTGGCACAGGATCAGTTACGTCGACATTTGGAGGACAACATGAACGAGCACCATCAGGAGTCATCCTGGTTGGTTTCAGCACTGGGTGTATTTTTGCAGGTTACTCACTGGATACTAACCTCCCTCTCTGTCTCTAATTTAAAAAATATGTATGTGCTTGATTGTGCTTGACTTGGAAAAATGATGTGCGAAAAGGTCATTTGGACAACCCTGATGAGGAATATATATATATGTATAATGTCTAACATTGTCTAACTGAGTGTGCATTTCAGTTGAGCATCACTGGCTGGTAGTTTACCCTGGCAACAGGATTCGCCCGGGGTTGGAGACCAAAGGTGCAAAGGTGAGAGTAGTGTGTGTCAACATATGCGATCCAAACCACGGTTGTTTTGTAACATCTTATATAAACTTATGATCTTATGTGCATATCTATTGACAATGCATGCATGCATACACATATACACACATACACACATACATACATACTTACATACATACATACCTACATACACACATACATTCATACATACATACATGCATGCATGCATGCATACATACAGACATTCACACACAAACATACATACACACACCAGCATACATACACACACACACACCAGCATACATACACACACACACCAGCATACATACACACAAGCATACATACATACATTACGTTACGTTACGTTACGTTACTTTACATACATACACATACACATACACATACACATACACATACACATACAGACATGCAGACATACAGACATACAGACATACAGACATACAGGCATACAGACACAGACATACAGACATACAGACACACAGGCATACAGGCATACTGACATACAGACATACAGACATACAGACATACAGACATAAAGACATACAGACATACAGACATACACATACACACACATACACACACAGACATTTATACACACACATACACACATACACACATACACACATGCACACATACACACATGCACAAATGCACAAACAAATGCACACATACACACATACACACAGACATACATGCATGCATGCATGCATACATACATACATAAATACATACATACATGCATACATGCATGCATGCATACATACATACATACACACATACATACATACATACATGCATACATACATACATACAGAAACACAGACAGACAGAGAGACATACATACATACATACATACACACATACATACATACATACATACACACACACATACATGTATGCATGCATGCATGCATACATACATACAGGCAGGCAGAGAGACATACATACATACATTCATACATACATACATAAATACATACATACATGCATACATACATACATAGATACACACATACATACATACATGCATGCATACATACTTACATACATACAGACACACAGACAGACAGAGAGACATACATACATACAGACAGACAGACAGACAGAGACAGACAGACAGACAGACAGCCAGCCAGCGAGCCAGCCAGCCAGCCAGACAGACAGACAGACGGACAGATAGACAGACAGACAGACAAGTATACATACATAAATACATACATATATACATGCATACACATACACATACACATACACTTACACTTACACATACTCATACGCATATACATACATATACTTAAATATATTTATACATACATATACATACATTTACTTGCATATACTGTATATACATATACATACATATACATACATTTACATACATATACATACATATACAATCATATATATATATACACATATACATACATATACATACATATGCATACATATGCATGCAGATGCATACAGATGCATACAGATGCATACAGATATACATACATATACACACGCATATATTTACAGATACTTAGACATTATACACAAACATACACATACATACACATACATCATCATACATCCATCCATCCATCCATCCATCCACCCATCCACCCACCCATCCATCCATCCATCCATCCATCCATCTATTCTCCTTTCATCCATGCATTCCATACATTCCATACACTCCATACATACATGCATATATACATTACATTACATTACATTACAGATCACTGCAGTACAATACATTAGATTATATTACATACCTTACCTTACATTACATTACATTACATACATTACATTACATTACATTACATACATTACATTACATTACATTACATTACATTACATTACATTTACATCACATTTACATTACATTACATACATACATACATAAACACATACATACATACATACATACAGACATACATACATACAAACATACATACAGACATACACACATACATACATACATACATACATACATCCAAACAGCCTCCGGCAATCTCCGGCATATAATCAAACGTGGCAATGCAAAACCATCATTTTTCTGTTTTTATTGTGGATTGTCCATTGCCAAGTTTGATTACTGGAGGGAAATTTTCCTGATGGAAACCCCGTTGGTTATGTTGTGCACCCATGTTGCAACCAATGTGGAGAGAGCTACTGAGGAAAGATACAGAGTGGATCACTGTGGGGTGACTCTGGGGCCCAACCCACTGCGTTTTTTTCATGCTGCCTTCCTTGTTACGCGAGGCATACCACCTTGGTTTTCTATTCAGACTCCTTTTCGGGGGGACTATATGCGGCAGTTCAATGTCAGTTGGAAATGATTATATACCAGCAGACTTTGAACATCGTTAGATGTATATAATTATATATATATACACTGTCAAATTGCTAATGTAAATGTTACATATATAAATTATAAATATTATATACCACTGCAGATCTCTTGAACCCACTTGATCTCATTGGTTTTTGGCTGCGTCAACTGCTCCAACTACAGGAGGAAAATGACCACGCCATGGATGATTTCACCTGGTTCAGTCCGGGGCAAGACTATCTAGACAGACTACGCCGGGACGGGTGGAGGGTGTCTTGATGTCACATGTGGGCGCCCTAAAAATGGCAGCTTTAATGGTAAAATGATGATCATCAATGATCATTAAAGCATTTTTCATGGAAGATTTCAAGTCTTGAGACGCCAATTTTCAACCTCAGTCATGCAAGAGCGGAAAACGACCCTCATCATACAAGTGATTTGCGAATGCAGACCGCAATACCGGTACGGTATCCGAAGCTGTTATCCACCAACCCTTCATGGGATTGGTTCCCTCCTGACCCCCGCAAAAAAGGTGTGTTCCTGAAACATGTACCTTCATCCCAAATACTGTAGTCTTTACATCAATAGTTTTTTTCCAGTAAACAAAGCGGGTTGTTAAAAACCCAGAGATCATTGGATTGGTTTAAGGGAAAATCTTCAGGAAACCATGGTTATTGCATGGTTTTGCCATCAAATATAGGGTTTTGGGCGTTCATTTTATCCACCTTTTTCACTTTTGATACACTTTGCAGCTTGTCAGTTTCTAGCTCTAGGGCAAACCATTGGAAGCCCCGGCAAAAAAATATCGTTTTGTCCGTGAAAAAAATCCTTGAACCATTCCAAAACCCAGAGAGTTCAAGGTGGCACAGCGCAGGACTGTGCCATTGAACTGGGCGTGTTGCTGCCTGGGGTCATGCCAAACAACCCTTCCAAGGCTGGTAACTCCGGGATGGCTGGGGGTTGCCATGGGCACAACACATCAGAAAAGCTGGGAGTCATGTGGGGCCCAATGCAATCAACACTCTCAAATAGTTATTTGGTTGGTGGTTTGGAACATTTGTTTCCATATATTGGGAATAATCATCCCAACTGACTTTCATATTGTTCAGAGGGGTTGAAACCACCAACCAGGTTCTATGTATCATGATTGTGGGGTAACCTTGGTATGATTCTGTGATATGATACTTGTGGGATTATCAGTGATGATTATGGGATAATTGTGTCACGATCATCCCCAGTAGAGGTTTATTGGTAGGTAGACCGGTAGACCCCTAGGGCCCTGGGATATTCATTCCATTACCCCCAGTCATGGTTGATAAACGGGATGGTTTACCAGTAGTACCGCGCAAGGCGGTGGCGGAAGTTTCAAGAATAGGAAACCTATAGGAGAGATTGGTTGTTGTGAATCACGGATGGCAGAGCGAATCCACTGATGGACAGAAAGGTGGTTGGAGCTGTGTTTTTTGGAGTGGCTGCAATGGTTGCAGTGGTCACCTGGTCGGTAACCTCACCCACAACTGCTGGATGTAGTGTGGTGTAGTGCAGCTCTAGTTGTAGTTGTAGTGTAGTGGAGTTGTAGTTATGATGTAGTGTAATTAGTGTGGCGCAGTTGCAGTTGCATTTGTGGTGGTGTAATGGTAATGAGTGTATTGTAATTAATGTAATGCAATGTGGGGTAGGGTAGTGTAGTGTAGTGTAGCGTGGTGTAGTGTAGCGTAGTGTAATGCAATTAGTGTAGTGTGTAGTGTGTAGTGTGTAGTGTGTAGTGTGTAGTGTGTAGTGTGTGTAGTGTGTGTAGTGTGTAGTGTGTAGTGTGTAGTGTGTAGTGTGTAGTGTGTAGTGCGCAGTGTAGTGTGTAGTGTGTAGTGTGTAGTGTGTTGTGTGTAGTGTGTAGTGTGCAGTGTGTAGTGTGTAGTGTGTAGTGTGTAAAGTGTAAAGTGTAGTGTGTAGTGGTAGTGTGTAGTGTGTAGTGTGTAGTGTGTAGTGTGTAGTGTGTTGTGTGTTGTGTTGTGTGTTGTGTAGTGTGTTGTGTAGTGTGTAGTGTGTAGTGTGTAGTGTGTAGTGTGTAGTGTGTAGTGTGTAGTGTGTAGTATGTAGTGTGTAGTGTGTAGTGTGTAGTGTGTAGTGTGTAGTGTGTAGTGTGTAGTGTGTAGTGTGTAGTGTGTAGTGTGCAGTGTAGTGTGTAGTGTGTTGTGTGTTGTGTTGTGTGTTGTGTAGTGTGTTGTGCTGTGTAGTGTGTAGTGTGTAGTGTGTAGTGTGTAGTGTGTAGTGTGTAGTGTGTAGTGTGTAGTATGTAGTGTGTAGTGTGTAGTGTGTAGTGTGTAGTGTGTAGTGTGCAGTGTAGTGGTAGTGTGTAGTGTGTAGTGTGTAGTGTGTAGTGTGTTGTGTGTTGTGTTGTGTGTTGTGTAGTGTGTTGTGTAGTGTGTTGTGCTGTGTAGTGTGTAGTGTGTAGTGTGTAGTGTGTAGTGTGTAGTGTGTAGTATGTAGTGTGTAGTGTGTAGTGTGTAGTGTGTAGTGTGCAGTGTAGTGTGTAGTGTGTAGTGCAGTGTGTTGTGTAGTGTGTTGTGTAGTGTGTTGTGTAGTGTGTTGTGTAGTGTGTTGTGTAGTGTTGTGTAGTGTAGTGTTGTGTAGTGTAATGCAATTAGATTAGTGTAGTGTAGTTGTAGTTGTAGTTGCAGTTGTAGTTGTGGTTGTTGTGTGGTGTAGTGTTGCGTCATGTATTGTAGTTGTAGTTGTAGTCGTAGTTGTAGCTGTAGTTAGTGTAGTGTGGTGTGGTGTGGTGTAGTGTAGTGTAGTGTGGTGTAATTGAGTGTAGTGTGCTGTAGTGTAGCGGAGTGCAGTGTAGTGATGTGTAGTGTAGCGTAGTGTAGTGGAGTGGGGTGTAGTCTAGTCTAGTGTAGTGTAATGTAATTAGTGTAGTGTAGTGTAATGCAGTGTAGCGTAGTGGAATGTAGTGTAGTGTAGTGGAATGTAGTGTAGTGGAGTGGAGTGTCGTGTACAGTGTAGTGGAATGTAGTGAAGGTGTAGTTGTAGTTTTTGCCTACGGCGCCATTAACGACCCCTGCGTTTTTGTCATTTTTGCTGATTGGAGGCAAGTTGCTCTTGAAATTGATGCATGCAGAACTGATGTCACGTCACTGGGTTGGGGTGGGGTGGGGATGTTAACGTTCATGTTAACTTGCGTCACATGCACAACTGACGTCACGTCACTGGGTTGGGGTGGGGTGGGGATGTTAACGTTCATGTTAACTTGCGTCACATGCACAACTGACGTCACGTCACTGGGTTGGGGTGGAAGGCGGAGGCCAAAAAGGCCGGTTTTCAGTTTTCCTCTGTATCACATAGTCGAATGCAGTTTGTGAAGAAGGTTCCTAGGAAAAGACTCTTTACAGAAACCCAGCTGTTGGATAGCTTTTTGAAAATTCTCAAACAATTCGTTGGTTCCAACCTGCGAACTCGTGTCGACCGGCGCTTGCTGGACCAGATTAAAGCCTTCATGTACAGACACAACTCAGGTCATAACCTGCGGAAGGAACTGGGAAAGCTGGCCAAAAAGAGTCGACGCTGAAGACCTTGCAAGGTAAGTTGAAAAAGAAGTGTTGCTCAATGACTGGTGGTCAGATGTAACTAATTTTCTCCAACAAAACGAAAAAAAACGATAATTCGCTTCAGGGGTATTGAAAATCGATGAACGTTTCACACGAAACGCACTTTTTGTAGTAGGCCCCAAAGTAACTACGATTTGACATTTTTATCACGTTTTTACAAAACATTGCAAATACCATGATTTGGTGAACCAAGCATCATGAAAAATCAATGAATTACCCCGGGTCGCTAACCGCGCCGTAGCCTAGTTTTAGTGTAGTGTATTGGAGTGTAGTGTAGCGCAGTGGTGTTTGTAGTTGAAAATGCTACAAAACTCTCACGTTTTGCTCACTTTGGACAAGGTGCGCAATCCCTTGCGCCTGCCACGCGAAACGACATCTGAGCGTCCAAACGTGGTCCGAACCCTGGTGTTTTTCACATTTTGGGTTCGAAATGTGCTTTGCGCCACAACGGCGTACACTTCTTCAACATCCCAACTTCCAAGAGTGGTCCGGACCTGGTGTGCTTTGTACATTTTGACTTCGAGATGTGCTTCGCGCGACAATGGCGTGCACTTTTTCAACATCTCAACCTTCAAAAGTACCCCCTAGTGTTTTTAACATTTTGACTTCGAAATGTGCTTCGCGCCACAACGGCGTGCACTTTTTCGACATCTCAACTTCCAAAAGTGGTCCGGACCTGGTGTGTTTCGTGCATTTTGACTTCGACATGTGCTTCGTGCCACAACGGTATGCGCTTTTTCGACATCTCAACGTCCAAAAGTGGTCCGAGCATGTGGTTTTTTGTGCATTTTGACTTGGAAATGTGCTTCGCGCCACAACGGCGTGCATTTTTTCATCTCTCATTTGGCCAGATGGCTCCGCACCCGCCGCTTTAGCGAGCCTACTTTTCGACCCTCCGGAGCCACAAATCATTGGAAAAACACAGTGTTTCGCGACTTTCCTACGTTTTCGCGCACCTGCATCTTCTTTCTTTTGACTCTTTCTCTTCTTTGACCTTCTCTCTTCTGCTCTTCTCTCTTCTACTCGTCTCTTCTCTCTGACTCTTCCCATCTCTGCTTTTTATCTGTCCATATTGTCGGAAGTTTGACTTCTAAACTTCCTTCGATGACATTGAGTTTAGCAGACTAGTGACAATGGGATTCAAATGGTTTATGACCGTTAGGTACGACAAGAAAGATACCCAGCTGACCAGAAGTTGTAATTCCGGTTTTGTCTTGCTCGGGTATGATAAGATTTGCCAGGAGACTTAGCCAGGGTTTGGGCCTATTGACTGGAAAGCTTGCAAGTTTTGAGGCTTCCATGGTGAGTTTCTTGGCTTTTGTAGGCCTGCTGAATCAAGTTTGCGATGCTTCCCAGGTTGGCAAAAAAGTAAAAGTACCTACTTACTTTCTTGAACACAAAATGACCGCCCTAAACTTGGGTTTGGCCTGATACTGAACCTCCGGGAGCAACTTGGGGTTGAAAGTTTGGAAGCTTATGACATCACTTTTTTTGGAAGAGCAGAAAAGTTATAATTGTTGATGTTTGGCATTGCCTTTCCAGCCATCCCAACCAATCTTTGTGTCCAAAGAACAAATTGATTGTAGCAATCCAACAGAAAAGAGAGAAACACAAATCCTACTGAACTAGTCAATGGTAAATGACTTCTGTTAGATTTTCTGGTTCCCTTTGACCCACCTTTGCGCCACCAGGAAGCAGGCGCGAAAAAAAGCGAAGTGTGGAAAGTCGCCAGGCGGAACTCGCATCTGAAGCAACGTGACCTGTCGGAGATGGAGACCTGACGGGGAGTTTGCCGGAGCAGCTCAAGAGAACTGGGCAGCTTGAGACTTGATACCTGAGAAATCCTGAGAATTATGTAGTGTTATAAGTTATCATTGACAGTTGTTTTATTTTAGAAAACTAACCTTCAGTTTAACCTTCAGTGTTGCCCTACGGTAAACATGGGTAAACTAACAAAGATGTCAAAAACAATGTTTTGCCTAGGAAAATGATCGACAAATGGTGTGTTTCCACATCTATGTGATTATGTGGAGGTTCCCTAAAATGGGGGTAAATATCCCTCAATCACCCACGTTTAGGATTTTCACTTATAAACCATCCTCCATCCAGCTATTGGGGAGCGCTATTTATGGAAACCCACACAATAAATATATAAATATATACATATATAAATATATATATATAAATATATATATATATATATGTAAATATATATATATGTAAATATATATATATTACAGTAAATATATATATATATAATTATTATTTACAGATATAATTATATATACATACACACATACATATACATATACACATACATATACATATATATTTATATATATATACACATACACATATACATATACATATACACGTACATTTACATATATTTATATATATATCATAGTTATATACATATATAATGTATCTGTATATTCCCATTTAATATTCCCATTAAACCTTTACAGGAGGGTATGAAAGTTAAAAAACACGGTTTCGCGCCCGATCTCCGGAGAAGCGCAGCTGCTCAAGCGCCAAACAGAGACCCCGACAGTACCCCGAGCACCGCGAAGAAAAGAGCGATGACCACGACGATGTCGAAGAAGACCTCGTAACTCAGCTTCCAAAGTCGTAGCTCGTGAAAATGACACAGTGAGAGATGATGATAATGTATATTACATGGATATGATATAATATATGGTGTGTATATATATACTATTTGTATGTGTGTGCGTGATACTTTACATATTTACATATTTATGTGTATATTTTATGTACAATATGGACATGTGTTGATACTCATATATTGATAATAAACATTATGTTGATTGATTTTATTGATAAATATATATATATATTTATTTTATATTTAGTGGTATATATAGTACTAGTGATAAGTGATATATTTTGGATTAGATTGATGCATTTTTTAAAATATATACATATGTTTATACATCCGCAGAATGTGGATACAGTAGTCTAAGCCAACCATCTCCTGCTTGTGCCATATGGTATTTTTCAACCTTCGACCTCCCGCAGACTACCCTGTGAGGAAATAACAGGCTTGATTTTAGGAGACAGTTCCTGTGTTCAAACCGTAAAAAACCCATGGTTTTTCCCGATGTTCTGCGAAAAAAACTGTTGAAATCTGTTGAACTCATGTTTAACTACTGGCGAAATTTCATGTATTTGTTGGTTCGATTCCCATTTAAACTGATTTGATCCATACATTTGATAGAAAACACCTGCTTCCCCCTATATCTTCCCAAAATAAGTCAGTCCGCTGAACTGAGGAAAAGTTTTCTTGCCATCAAACTCTTTGTTGCCTTCCTGGGTCTACGCCTTTTGGCGCCTTCCTTCGTGAACGCTCCGCACACGCCCAACAGCAGTTCCACCCGAGTGGCAATGAGGGCAGAGGGAGAGACGGAAGGAGAGGTTTCTTGGAAAAGACGGTGAAGTTAAGATCCTTACGGATACCCTCTGGTAATTCAACAGTTTGCTATGGAAAATCCCCAGTGCTAATAGGTAAATCATATAAATTGTGTATTTTTCATGGCAATGTTTGATTACCAAAGGGTATCTCTTTATTTTGTTTTGGAAGCTGAACCATTTTACTAAAAGGGAATAACGAGTGGCCGTTGGTATTTGCTGAAGCCAGAGATGGTGCAGGGACGTTGGCTTACCTAAGGAAGAAGGAGGGATGCTTGACATCTTGAAAGTGGAACAAGACATTGAGTTTCTGGGTGGCAGTTGTGACTCTTTGAGCTCAAGATGAATTTGTTGTCACTCAGAATCTACCCTCTGGTAATTTAGCATAACTATGGAAGATCACCATTTTTAATTGGAAAATCCACTATTTCTATGGCCATTTTCAAAAGCAAACTGTTAGTTTACCAGAGGGTACCCGTCGTTTTTCATTAGTGTTGCTGACCTGTACCAGATGCTCCCAGGATTTGCCATGGAACGGCAGAGTTTCTCATTTTGGCTGCCCAGGCTGTCACCTGAAGAGTACAAGATGGCCCTTGAGCAGGAGATCGAAACTCAGAGAAAGTTCCTTGGCAGGGGATACAGATGTGGAACATCTAGTAGATAATTATCCGAACGGGAAAACATGGGTTTTCTACATCGATGTTAGTTGATTTTAAGGTAATTATTCATAATCATATACGTAATCCTGGAATCATGTATATATATATATGTGTGTGTGTGCGTGTAACATACATACAGATGATTCTCACGTATCTTCCCGTTAGGATTCGGGGTACCATTTCCAAGCTAGATTGCTGGAAGGAGACCAACCAAAGTAGGATGAAATCAATCTTCAACGAGCCTCAGAAAACATGGCTGGAACATATTTATGCGAAAAGTCTTGCAAGGATGGTAGCTTGATATTTCCAGGCTTCGCATTTTTCTATCTACTTGGGTTGCTGTATAGCTGAATGAAAAACACCTGGTCCACCTCCATTTCGTTCGCGGACCCTCCACGGTTGATTACCGGAGGGTTTGATGTGGGATCTTGTTGTGGCCTGGGTTGTCTCACCCTTGTACCCTAGAACACCTTACCATGGTGAACAGAACATACTAATTTAACTTTGGGAAGCGCACAGCTACTAATCTTGGGCATGATATGATTGATGATATCAGATTTGTCTGCATGGAGGGCGTGGACAAATATTGATTATATCATGGTATTTGCCGTTCATCCATCCACGATCATCTATGCGTAGAGCACAGGTGAGAGGAGAGGAGAGGGGTCGCCAAACATATTATGTAATATGAGATTGTATTGGCCCATAATTTTACGGAAAGCAACATCCATGAGAGAGAGAGGATAGGACCCACAACTGCTGTGAGGACCTTCCAAGACCATGACAGGATCATCTCCCATGACTGTCCTGATCACCTCAGGAAGTATTACATCGGAGGAAAGGTGAGCCCTAAAAACCTTGTGGTGCCCTGGAGGCGGGGGCTGTAGGATGATGGGATATTTGGAGGGGTGGACACTAAGTTCATTGTTTTTGTTTTGGCTCTTGTACACTCTCGTACACAAGTACAATGTGACAGGTAGATAGACAGCTAGATAGATAGACAGCTAGATAGATAGACGGCTAGATAGATAGAGACAGCTAGATAGATAGACAGCTAGACAGATAGACAGCTAGATAGATAGACAGCTAGATAGATAGACAGCTAGATAGATAGACAGCTAGATAGATAGACAGCTAGACAGATACTGTAGGTAGATAGATAGATAGATAGATAGATAGACAGATGGATAGATAGATAGATAGGTCGGTAGGTAGATAGATAGATAGATAGATAGAGAGAGAGAGATAGATAGATAGATGGATAGATAGACAGACAGACAGACAGATAGATAGAGAGACAGCCAGACAGCCAGACAGCCAGACAGATAGACAGACAGACAGCCAGCCAGACAGACAGACAGGAAGATAGATAGGGACCTACGTACATATATACATACATACATACATGCATGCATACATACATACATACATACGTACATACATACATACATACAGACATACAGACATACAGACATACAGACATACAGACATACAGACATACAGACATACAGACATACAGACATACAGACATACAGACATACAGACATACAGACATACAGACATACAGACATACATTACAGACAGACAGCCAGCCAGCCAGGCAGCCAGGCAGGCAGGCAGGCAGACAGACAGACAGACATACATGGATACATTGATATGTGCATACAATCATCATCAGCATCATCAGCCGCATGTTGCTTATGATCTACAACCACCATGTTCCAAAACCGTGGTTTCGACAGCGCATTAGGCCTGTGGATGAGAAGCAGCTCGAGAAGGACGCCAGAAGGACCTTGAAGAAGAATGGCATCAATGATCCTTCCGGCCAGGACGTTGACATGGAGCAGCTTGGACTTGGACATACACATACGACATTGGACCTTGACTGGACTTGCTAGCAAGACACTGGTTGTATATGAATATAATATTTATGTAAAATAAATGTGGTATAACATTTAGTCTTATAATGTTATATGCAGATTCTAATATCTAGTCGGATGGCTAATACTAATAAAGCATGCGTGTTGGTTCTACAATATCCAATGTAGCTATTTGGTGGTCCCCGGTCGGTAAGAGCTCCAAGTAAGATGTTCTTCAGTGTAGCTGGCCATTCAAATCTGGTACCGGCGGGATGTTTCAGATCCTCTGAGCCTCTTTGGGGATAGTTCTGGGGCACTTTTCAGGGCATCAAAATCACAAGGTTGAACATGAAGACCAACTGCCGTTGATAATGTTTCAAAGAAACATGCACATTGATAAGATAATGTTTCAAATGTGTTTGCTACCTCCTTTAGACTTAGAGTTATCAGTTCTTTTCCACCAGTTGCATGAGGCAGCAACCACAACCTGCGGGGAACAGAGCGCAACCCGCTCACTGCAAGGTTATCGGAACAGGTGTAAGAGTGTAAGATAAAACTCAGAGGACCCCTGTGCAACTGATGGCAAAACCTGCAAAACCATGTTTACAGGTATCACAAGTTTCCCTTCAATGAATCTGTTTAATTAAATATGTTGAAGTATTTCTATTGAAGTCATGTATCAATTCCGCTTTTCATTGTCAATATGTTCGCTAGTCAGTCAGATCCCCTTTTTTTTAATTTTTTTTTGTTGTCCAAGATGTGAACAAAATCTTTGCGCCCCCAGGTATGAAGACTCAGAGATTGAGCTGACTGTGGTCGATGAGGATGTGATGTTGGCTTGGGCTGGTGGCATCCCAGGAACCAAGGCGCCCGCCCTGGTGTTTTTCGGACCCTACGGACCTGCTAAAACACATGTTTTTTTAAAAGGCTGTTCAAGATTGGCCACAAATAGATCTGATATCATATGACTATTCAATAATACATATATATATATATATACATGTAATCTGTATAGGATATTGGCCGGCCCAGCAGGATAATAACCGCATTTTCATGACGCAAAAACGTGGAGATGTCAGCTTTACAGCGCCAGGTGGGATACATCATCGAGAGGAAGCCAGCAGGTGTCGGGTCAACCATGAAAAAGGGGGGATGGGGGTGGGTAAAGCAAGGGTAAAGCAACAAACTATTGGAATTAATATGAATAGATTTACGTTTCAACTGTGTTTTTTTATGTTGATATTCAATATTTTCAACAGACATGGAATCATGTGTTTCTTACTTGTTTGGGTTAAGCAACAACGAGTAAAAAACATCGGCGAATGATCGTTTGATAGCGCAATTCGTTGCCAGAAATAGGGATGTTTGTGTTACGTCGCTCAGATGTTTTCTTGAGGGCCATACAAGATTATATCAGCTAGCCATGTTTACATGAGTTGCTTCGTAGTACATGCAAAAAATGTGGACTTTTCATGACTTTTCATGACGGTGCAGACACCCCCCTGAATTCACATACGTAAATAGGCCCAGAGACGCGTTGCCCATGTGGTGTTTAAAATGTGTGGATTCCAGCCTTGAAACATCTTGAAACGAGGCAGATCCTGAAGTCCTGAAAACTCGGCATAGTGCAGGCAGCACCAACTATGAGGAGATCGCCACTTATGACAACATGCAGAACCCACAGTTGCTGGCGAAGCCTTACAGTGGCCATGAGTATTCCTACACTGACTCCATGGTTCCCCCAGGTGGGGCACTGGGCTGTTCTGCACACTTCTCAGGGCACAGTTTTCGTCACTTTCTCCCAGGCAAATACGACTACCGCCTGCTTTGCCGTTCTCGTGATGGTGGCATTACAGCGCCTGGGACCACAAGAGGCTTTTACTTGAAGAGTTGCTGGATAATGTCTTCATTTTTTTGGGGATCTCAATTTGTAAGATTGCATCATGAACCAACCAGAGCTTTCCATCACCACCTGAGTCATGGATTATTGCCCGGCTCTTGTCATGTTGTAAAGCCATTGTACTCATGTTCTGTTTAGGCCATTTTAGCCAGCTCATATGGCTCATCCCATTCATGCCACCAAAAATGTGACGTCCCTGACACCGGCAGAGCCTACTTTGATGACGTTTGATTGTCCATGGGGTCAACATCATCATTATCCATCATATATATATATGGATACACGTAATTAGCATTAGCATATTTAGCATGGGTATGTGCATCTATTTGTGTATAGTATGTTTAGACGGTAATATTGGAGAACACTGGTGTATATCATGGTATGCTTCATCTCATGGCTGATTCCTCGCTTCAGGTGGTTGACCAGAAGGATATCATTGTGGCAGAGCCAGCGGGGTTGGATCTGAAGCTGGGATTTGGTGGTGCTCACAGGATTCAATGGGGTTTATTGGGGATTAGTGGGAGAATTAGATAGCTAGTGGAATTTATATGTGATTTATATGTTATTCATATGTTATTTACATGGGATTGATATGCGATTTATATGTGATTTGTATGTGATTAATTAGCATCTATAACCATCTAGAATTTCTTGGTGACCGGGGTGTGTCTGACTTATATCGGACTCTGGGGAGTTCACCAACTTAATTTGGGGAAAACACCACGATTGCTGGTGTTTAAACATATTATCAATGAGTCTCACCAGTGGATGGAATTGGGCAGCCTATTTATCATTATTTGTCATGATTTATCTATTTTCAATCAAGCCCAGATGTTTCACTTAATTCATGTTCCCATCATGAAGACCTCTATTTTTGATGTTTTTTTTTTAATGCCATGTTTGTTTTTTAGATGAGAAAATCACCTGTTTTTTTTCCGTTGATCAAAGTGGAAAACGGGCAGCCCATCCCCCCATTGGATGATCCCCATCGGCCCGGCGGATAGGCGGATAGGGTTTTTTTCGCTGGCTTTCATGAAAGTTCACTAATATAATTAGTGACAAGCAAATTTCACAGAAAACGTGTGTGTGTTTATATATTATGTTTAATTATATGTGTTCTTTGAATGTACATCAAAACCTTGGGTTCAATGATCAAAAGAAGCAAGACATAGGGATATATCACAGACTTCGTATCGGGACATGTACTTTAAAAAAAATGTCAGGATGTCAGGTACATTCAGAATGTATTAATCAATGTATACCCTCCGGTAATTTAACATAGCTATTGAAAAGTGCCATTTATAGTGAGTTTTCCCATTAAAAATGGTGATTTTCCATAGTTATGTTAGTTTACCGGAGGGTATATCTCAAAAAAGGATTGCTAGCGATGTCAGGAAATTTGCCTTCCTGATTCTGGGCGGAGCCATCGCCTTCAGCGGATTCTACGGCTTCTTCTTGGACCCTGGAGCACAGCCGTAGAGGACCCGGGGACCCGTCAGAATGGGTAAAAATCGTGGTGGGATTTGATGGTGAAAAAAAATGCGATGTCATGGGATTCAATGGGATTTCGGCAATCAAACATGGAAATAGCTGGAAATAGCTGGAAATCGGAAAGCCCCTATAAATGAATGTTTATGTAATTTTATATCGCTGGGAAAAACATCGAAATCCATGAAGGATTTTCCGGCTAGCCATGTTTGAGGGTAAGGATGGGGATGATTTTTGAATCGGACCAATTCTATGACTGCTTTGAAAATGTTCAGTGTTGTTTAATAGAATGCTATCATTCACCTACAATAGGTCATACAATAGGTCATCATCAATAAATGGAATCATATGGAATAATAGCTATGTTGCAATTTCATATGTTGAATTTCTCGTACGGTACATGTGCACAACTTCGCACCACTTGGGCGAGTTGGATGGAACGCTTCTTGGATATAGGCAGTGAATATACCCGGCCTGGTAAACTAACATAACTATTGAAAATGGCCATAGAAATAGTGAGTTTTCCCATTAAAAATGGTGATTTTCCATAGCTATGTAAACGTTTACCAGAGGGTATGGACGGGTGTAAACATGTATCAACTTAGTTTCGATTCGCCTGAAAATTTAGTGAGTCGATTCTGGCCAGGGCACGCTCAATCTAGTCAGGAGATTTCAGTACAATATGGGGCCACCCGACACTCCACAGACTTTCGGCATGACATGCCCAATAGAATGACCATTTGAGCCACTGCTTCACAGCAGTCGAGTCGGATTTTCACACATTTTCACGCTCACAACTCGCGCCGTGACCAGCGGAAAAGGGCTGCCGGCGCTTTGGAGAAGCCAGCAGATTCACTTCTGATCCGCTTAAGCCATGGAATATCCATGGAATTATAGGACCTCAGACACATATGAATATATTTGGTGGTATGTGTATTAATCATGTGGTTAAAACCACAATGTCATTTGCACCATCCCCCAATCATCAGCAGGAATTTATAGGTGGTATGTTTAAACCATTCCCAGGAAGTCATGGGTTTTTTCAGCTATGCTCTTTGGATGCCCCAGATCCCATGGTTAACTCCGGGGTGCCCTTGGGATCCCTCACTGATAAAATAGGACTCATGAAACTGCCGATGGTCAGAATTCGTTTGAATCCACTTCTAGAATTGCAGTTTAGTTTAGAACTTGTTTTTTCAGTGAAAAGCTGAGAAAAGCCCCTTGGGGGGGCATTAATGGGATGTTCATTCAATTCCATTCAGATCCAGGTCATATCCATTAATTGCCATCAATTGCGAGAGATTTCATGGAGAAAGACGTATTTCATGGAAAAAAATCTTATCATCTCTAGTATCCATGGCCATTAATCATTATTTCAATGGTGCAACACTAGGCCATGAATTCTCCTTCCGAGATCACGAGACTCAGGCTGCAACACCTTGGTGCTCGGAGAACTGGTCTTGTGACGCTTTGGCCGCATCCCATGTCAGGATCGCTCTATATAAATAAACATATACATCGGACATAATATAACGATATGATCTTACGACATTCGAGATTAAACATGAAGCCATTCCTGTTTGTATAACATAGCTGTTGGCTTAAGGTTTATATGGGGGGGCACGCGGCAATCAATTGTGAGTGCGCCGTGTGCCGGTGTGTTGCCCGCATACTTTCGCTGTTAGATCAGGGCACCGGCCTTCCGTTCTTTGTGGACGGTGTTGCCACTCGGCTCAGGGTGGTTGAGGCTGAGGCCCGAGACGAACTAGCGCGCCGAGGGTGGCGTGAAGGGAGCCTAGCCGCTCCCATACCTGCTCCTGGTGCTGCGCCTGGTGGGGGGACTGCCACTCCTGCCAACGGGCCACCTGGAGCTGCGGCTGAGTGCAAAGCAGCTGCACCTGCGCCACGGGAGGAAGCTGCCCTAGCCTCCCAAGCTGCCAAGAAAGTCGCTGCCACCGAGCCAGGGGAGAGTGTTGCGCCCACCTCCCAACCTGTTGCCTCAGATTGCGCTGAAAGGACACCCGAGGAAGTCAACCTCGGAATCTATCCGAAGAGTTGCCCTGCTGCCCCACGAGTGCCCGCCGCCGGAGCACAACAGGTGAAGCTTGAAGCGGAGATCAAGGCCAAGCCGCCCAAGGAAGAAGAGAAAGAAGGAGAAGCTAAGCGAAGTGAAGCCAAGGAGGAATCAAGGAAGAGAAGAGACGCCAGCAGAAGCCGAAGGAGGCAGCACAGGAGGTCGCGATCGCGGAGAAGGACTTCCGGGGAGAGAGCCAGAGGATCCCGAGACCATAGGTCGGATCGTTCGCGGGAAAGGAGAAGAAGGGAGTCCAGTGTTACTCCCAGGTCAGCTCCGGGAAAGGAGAAGAAGTCTCGTCCAGAGAGGCCGCCGGAGCCAGCTGGCCCTCCGCCAAGAAGAGAGGATCGCAGGGTTCCTCGTGAACCTGACCATCCCCCTCCTGCCAGGAGCAGTGGCAGTGGGAGGGCTCAAGGTCCTGGTTGGCAAGGGCCGATACCCTACTCTTCCCACGCGAGGTGGAGTGTAGGGAAATCGAAAGGCATTGTGCGCCGAGCCAAGCAAGAGCGGTTCAATCGCAGAAGAGACCGGAGGCACGACAGAGGAGGATGCCGCCGAAGGTAGTGGGGAGGCGTCCGGCTGCTCGAGTGGGACGGCTTAGGCGCCCGGCAGCCCGAGTTGAACCGCCTGCAGAGGAAGAGAAGAAGTGCCTCAGCCTAGGGCTGGGCGATCTCGGGTCTCTGGGCTACGTTCATTTGAAAAAGGCCAGGTACTATGGCAGGGAGGTTGAGTTGGTGGGGAAGTTCACCAACCTCGGGCTGGAAGATGGACAGCCCATGGGCACGTTTGAAGCCTCAGGCACACAAGATGATGCCTTGTTGCGCTTGCTCAGCGGGCGTCCCAAGCGTCAGCTCACAGTTCACCTGTGCCAAGAGGATTGCCCGGGGGCCTTGACAGATGAGTTCCTAGTGCATGGCAGGAGCTTTATCAAGGTGGATCAGGGAAAAGACCCATGGTTCACCAACCTGCTATCAGTGGGAGCTCCCGCAGGTGAAGCCGATGAGTTGGAGGCGTTGAGAGCTGATGAGACCAGGAGGAAGCAAGAAAGGGAGAGGGGAGACGATAAGCCTCCCAAGGCGGCTGAGAAGGTCAAGAAGGCTGATAAGAAGCAGAAGAGACGGGAGGAAGAAGACTCCCAGAGGAAGAGGAGGCGTTCAGAAAGTGAGGATGAATGGGAGATAGGGCAGAAATCTCCCAAGCTCCTGTTCGAGAAGACAGGTCTGGATCCCGAAGCCCGACAGAGGAGAAAGTTTTTGAAGAAGGCAAGGAAGGTTGGGAGATCCAAAAAGAGCAAAAAGAAGAAGAGCAAGTCGAGTTCATCAGCTTCGAGGAGCAGCAGCAGCGAGACGGTGTCAAGCGGGCCTGTCGCCTCAGTTGGGCTCTTTGACAATGAGCGGAAGCTGGGAACAATCTGGAAGCGCTTTCCAGGCGCTTTAGCCTGTTCAGCGGCTACAGAGGCTAAGCAACATCTTCTAACCGCGGCTGGGACAGTTTGGGGGTTGGACCGGAAGAAGGTGGACCCGGTCTTTACTCATTATGCTCGTCAGTGCTTGATGGGGCATATGTCTCCCCCAATGGCACAAGAAGCTCTTACGGTCGCTCAGACCTTGGACATGATGTTGCAAGGCCATGTGGCTGGAGCGTGTGATCTTATGGCACAACGCTTGAAGAGCCTTGAATCTTCCTCCCGTGGCAACCACTGGACGGTCTCCAGACAAATGGAGTTGGTAAGGAGCGATGGCGGCACGATGGCAGAGGAGGCCGAAACAGTGGAAGCAGCCAAAAGAGCGCGGGAAGAAGAAAGATTGAGGTCGTTGACAGCCAGACCTTCCGGGACAAGATCTACAGAGGCGCTGGGCGGAGGCAAGGGGAGTAGAAAGGGCAAGGACTGGAAAGGTGCTAACAAAGGGAAAGGTGACGAAAGCGCAAAGGGCAAAGGATCGGATAGAAGGGACGACGGAAAGACATGGCAGAAGGAGAAAAAGTAGCACCCATGTCGAACAGTCACCATCCCAAAGGCACCCACAGTCCTATGCCGAACTCCCAATTTGCAGTGGAGACAGTGCTCCTTCCTGATTTCTCCTTTAGTGCTGAGGCGGCGAGCGTTGGTGCAGATGCAGCGCAGAAAGGCAGAGGCAGCTTGAGTGGTGGCATGGGCGGCGCAGAGATTGGCAGCGGTATCACTATGCATGATATAGAGGAGTTGGTTTCCAATGCTGAGGCAGCGGCGTTGGAGGCTGAGGGGAGCGAGCAGGCTAAAGGGTCTGGCAGCTCCCAAGAGTTTCACCGGCTTTTGCATGAAGGTGTCCTGAAATGGCGCCGTGGACTTTTGCAGCCAGCGCGAGTGGCAGACGTCGGGGGACTGGTCAATGAGGTCCTGAAGTTATGTGAAATGTTTCATTGCAGACCAGAGCCCATGGCCGATAGGAGTAAACTTTTCCCTATCTGTGCCCCAGGATCTTTAATTGGCTCAGGCCCTCGAGGACAGTTTTTCGTGGCTCTTTTGGGAAGCCTCAACCATTTGTATGGGGGAGGCGGCACAGGACGAGGTGGCCCGACCTCCTTTCGGGTTGCAAAAAGGCTGGCAGCAGTAGTGCATGATTCAGGGTTGTTGGAGGAGTTGTTACCCCCTATGAGTTTCACTGATTTCTTTAGTTGCAAACAACTGGACTATGTGGGTGATGAAGTTCATGTAGCTAGACCAGTGGTATGGGAGGAAGTGGAAGCTTCTCTCCCAAGTGAAGTTGGACAGCTTGACATTCGGGACTTTGTTGATGGGGGGGTCAAATATTATATCGATCACCTCGAAGAGTTCATGATTGCTTCTCCCCCGGATTCCATTGCAAAGCCCCCTAAAGTGATGGTGTCGGATGCCCATTGGAGTACAGTCGCTCATGGCCTTGTGGCGAGGGGTCTTTGTCGGGTATTGCGTAGATCTTCACTGTTCCACGTGGGGGGGAAGCCTTTGCTCAATGGCCTTTTTTCTGTAAGCAAGCAGGAGTTCATTGGAACACTGGAGGTGTGTCGATTGATTATGAACTTGAAGCCGGCCAACGCCCTATGTTCTCCAATGGTAGGTGATACTAGCACCCTTCCTATGGTCACAAACCTGGGCACCATGTTCTTAGACCCCAGTGAAAACCTTTGCATCTCCTCTGAGGACATCAGATGCTTCTTCTATTTATTCGCGATTCCGGAGGCTTGGTGGAGATTTTTCGGGTTTGCTAAGCCTGCACCCCGATCGCTGGTGCCTTCAGATTTTGGGGATGAAGAGGGGTATTTGGTGGCCACTGTATTGCCAATGGGATGGATTAACAGCGTTGCCCTGGCACAACACATCCATAGGAGAGTTGTGAGGCAATGCATGGGAAGCCTGCAACCCCCTCTTAGTGGGGCTCAGGAGCTTAGGAGAGATAGACCCTTTAGTGTACACCCACACCTCTTTAGAGTTTATCTTGACAACTTCGACGAACTGCAGAAAGTCAACAAGAATCTGTCAGAAGTCCTGGAGGGGAGCCCTTCTCGAGTAGCCACTGCCCTAAGGGAGGCTTATGAAAGGGAAGGCCTCCCAAGACATCCCAAAAAATCCACCCAGCAAGAGCTGAGGGCAGAAGTGCAAGGGGCTTGGATTGATGTGGTCAAAGGCACTGTAACAGCGAAGCCATCCAAAGTGGCCCGCTACATTGCCTTAGCTATAGAGCTGTTGGAGCGAGGCACTGCAACCCAAAGAGAATTACAGGTCATTGGAGGGGGGTTTGTCTACGTGGCTATGTTCAGGCGACCATTGTTGGCGGGGCTAAATCAAATTTCGAGGAGTATCACTGAGGTGGGCCCCCAACAAGCTAAGCAAAGACGGCGGCTGACACCTGCTGTAGTGGCTGAACTAGCTCGTTTCATAGGTCTGATACCTCTTTCTTTCATGAACCTGCGTTCGGGGTTTGGGGAGTTGGTTACGGCCAGCGATGCGTCTACCACAGGTGGGGGAGTGGTCCTCTCCCGTGCTTTGACCCCCTATGGGCGCGCCGCGAGTACCAGCTTGGTACGAGGGGAGCTGCCTGAAAGGCACGATTTCTCCCAAGTTCTCAGTGTGGGGCTCTTCGATGGCATTGCTGCCCTTCGGGTAGCCCTGGATTGCTTGGAGGTTCCTGTGGTGGGTCACGTCTCAGTAGAGAAGTCCAGCGAGGCTCAGAGAGTAGTCGAAAGCTTGTTCCCTGATGTTATTCAAGTGGAGGATGTTTGCCTAATTGACGCGGAGATGGTCAGCAGATGGGCAATGCGCTTTCCATCCGTGGGACTAGTCATCGTGGGAGCTGGCCCCCCATGCCAGGGGGTGTCTGGCTTGAATTGTGACAGAAAAGGCGCCCTCAGAGACTTGAGGAGCAATCTTTTCGTGCACGTGCCTCGGGTGACCGCTTTGATCAGAAAGGCATTTCCCTGGGCCCAGGTGCACACCCTGACTGAGAGCGTTGCTTCCATGGATGCCAAAGATTGTGAAACTATGAACCAGAGCTTCGAGGACAGGCCGTGGTTCATTGATGCCGATGGCGTGGCTTTGTGCCATCGGCCCCGGCTCTACTGGATCAGCTGGGAGCTTCAAGCAGGAGAAGGAGTCGCTTTGGGCTATGGGAGTGACGGGCGGCTCCCAATCCAAGGGGAGGTCCAGCTGGAAGCCGTGGTGGACTCCCAGATGTTTCTGGAGACAGGATGGTCGCTAGCTGAGCGACAGCGGCTGCCAACTTTCACTACGTCACGTCCAAGCTCGACACCCTTGAAGAGACCGGCAGGCATCAAATCGTGCAAGGGGCATGAGCTCGAGCGCTGGCGGAGCGATCGTCATAGGTTCCCCCCGTACCAGTACAAAGATGAAAACTGCGTGTCAAATGCGCGAGGGGATTTTAGAATCCCAAGCGTGTCTGAGCGGGAGGTCATCATGGGTTTTCCCCTAGGATACACTATCCAGTGCCTGCCCAAAAAGGACCATGGAACAGAAAAACATACGGACTGCCGGCTGAGCTTGCTGGGCAACTCATGGTGTGTGCCTGTTGTGGCGTGGCTGCTGGTGAAGCTGCTGCAACCTTTAGGGCTGGTTGAACCGACAAGCGTTCAAGAGGTGGTGAATAGGCTAACTCCAGGTTGGGGTCGTTCTCTGCAAAGTCTTCTCCTGCGGCCCCCCATTAGCTGTAGTACTGCGAGCGCCCCTTGTAGCGTAGAGCTGGTTCAACGCCTTTGTTCTCTGGTCTCCTTGAAAGGTGAGGATATCCTGCTGCAAGGTTCAACAGATGCTCCGGCAAAGTTTCATAGGCTCCGTGCAAGTGTGCCTGCTAGGCTTTGGAGGTGGAAAACCGTTGCGTCGTGGCAGTGGTCAGGCGCCCCCGAGCACATCAATGTTTTGGAACTCAGGGCAGTTTTGACTACGGTCAAATACAGGGTTGAACAGCTTAGAGAATGTGATGTGCGTTGTGTGCACCTGGTTGATTCTCTTGTTGTTTTGCACGCTCTCTCCCGCGGACGCTCTTCTTCGCGAAAAATGCGTCGCACCCTTATGCGGATTAGTGCCTATCTTCTATCAAGCGGTCTTCAACTCTCCTGTGGGTACGTAGATACCCACCAGAACCCTGCGGATCGCCCCTCGCGCAGAGGGGTCAAAAAGAAATGGTTAAAAAAGCCGCAAAAGTAGCTGAAGGCCGCACAAAGGAAGATAGGAAAAAAGTCCGCAAGACCCTGGGTACCTTAAAATCATTGACGGTGCAACCTGTGACCAAACAGCGCTATCAAGCCAGTCTCAACCAGTTCTATGATCACCTGCAAAGGGAGGGCATATCGCTCCCAAAGCGCAGGGATAGCTTGGATGCCGTGGTTAGTGACTACATCGAGCACCTGTGGTCAGAGGGAGAAGGACGCTCTGTGGCAAGCAATTTGCTGGCTGGGTTACAAGATCTTGACCCTCATCTGAAAGGGCATCTCCAGACCTCCTGGAGATTGATGAAAACCTGGACTGCTAACGAGCTTCCCAACCGAGCCCCTCCTCTCACTGAGGGGATCCTTAAAGCCGTGGTAGGGTGGGCTGTCTTCAATCAGCATTTTTCTTTTGGATTGTCCTTACTGGTGGGATTTTACACGTTGCTGCGCACAGGGGAGTTGCTGGACCTGCAAGCCTGGAATATACACATGACCTCCAACTCCCAACCTGCAGTGATTAGTTTGGGGCTCACCAAATCTGGCAAACGCCAGGGGGCTGCTGAAAGTGTGACCCTTACTGAGTTGAGTGTTTTGAAACTACTTTGGTTTTGGAAACAACAAGTCCCTGCTCACACTTATTTAACTGCAAAGCCACATGTGTGGCGCCAATTGTTTAATGAATGTCTGCAGGGGCTAAAAATTTCAGAATGGGGTTTCAGACCCTACTCACTCAGAAGGGGAGGTGCTACATCCCTGTTTGTCAAGTGTGGATCCCTGGATCGTGTTCTCATCTTGGGACGATGGACTGCAGTTAAAACTGCAAAAATTTATTTGAATTCAGGCCTAGCCATGTTAGCTGATCTGAAAATCCCCCAAAAGTTGCTTCAACCGTTTCACACTGTCCTTACGAATTACTTACAAGGTCCGCCAAAGCTTGAGCAATCTCTTCAAAAGAAGAGAAGAACTGGGGGACGTGGAAAGAAAGAATTTCGGGGGAAAAAGGTGGAAAAATGTGTTGATGAATTTGGGGGGGGACCAACATTTTTTATTTTAAGTGTCAATCTGCTCGAGGCTCAGGGTCACTCCGGTTTGGCGGAGTCCTGGGGGGCAGGTGGGGGATATGTCTTCCCTTAGGTTTGGCTGGGGAAGGGATATCGGGGCCCCGCTGAAAGACACTTCTAGATTATTTCGGTTTTCAATTGTTTAATATGTAACAACTTTGGTCTGCAATGCAAAAAAGGAGTGGCGTGAGTGTTTGATCTTACGACATTCGAGATTAAACATGAAGCCATTCCTGTTTGTATAACATAGCTGTTGGCTTAAGGTCCACCCCCCCCCCCCCAGAAAGAATTTCGGGGGAAAAAGGTGGAAAAATGTGTTGATGAATTTGGGGGGGGACCAACATTTTTTATTTTAAGTGTCAATCTGCTCGAGGCTCAGGGTCACTCCGGTTTGGCGGAGTCCTGGGGGGCAGGTGGGGGATATGTCTTCCCTTAGGTTTGGCTGGGGAAGGGATGTCGGGGCCCCGCTGAAAGACACTTCTAGATTATTTCGGTTTTCAATTGTTTAATATGTAACAACTTTGGTCTGCAATGCAAAAAAGGAGTGGCGTGAGTGTTTAAATATAGTGTTTTTGTTTTAAAAAACACACAGACATATATATATATATACACATAATAGATATAATGTAATATATCTATATAACATATATAATATATATATATACATATGTATATATTTACTATTTGTTTATGTATGTGTATCCGACATTTATACATGCATTATCACATATATATAATATATATATATATACAGACACATTTACATATACACATAATTTCGACATGTATATTTTATGAGAGAAACTTAATGAGTTTTCCAGCTAAGTTGAAAGGAGGGAATCCTTGCACCGCCGAGGCGTTCCAAAATATCAAGAATCTGATCATTTCTTGGCATGGGTGCAGGCGCTGGTGTGCTTGCTCACCTTGCTTAAATGTGTCACTGCAGGTTTCAGTTGGGGTGAAATCATGTACATGATACTACAGTGGGTCCATGCCTGCGCGTTGAATGGTACATCCCTGGAAGGTTCCAAGCAAAGTGGAAGGAGAGAAGACGAGTCTTTGGCATAGCTCTGAGAATTTCGGGCGAATTTAAGCCACCAAGCTTCATAAAGGATGTTTCATCCTGGGGAAGCCATCAACTATCATCAACTCCGTGGTTTGAAAAACATGCTGCTTCCATGTTGGCGCATGAGGGCCGGCCATCCATTGAAGGTTCAGAGATGGGAGGGACCACCCCATCTCTGAGATCCCACTGAAATCAGGAATGTCTACTATGAGCTGATTCCGCCTGTTGAGCCAGGGGAAGGGTGCCTCAGACGAAGTCAGGGTGTCACTGGCCCATCCATATCCTATCGACCCTATCGACATTCCAACGTCGAAGTTTAAATTAGTTTAAACAAATGCTAAGTTAAACTTGGCATTTGCGTTAAATACTAAGTTTACCGCATGAAGGACTAAGTCAACCATGGTCTGGGTTGCAGGCAACTGTGTGTCCTGGCTCTGGGTCGTTGCGTACTTTGCAGGATGGGTCAAAGCTTTGGGATCAACAAACGATAGACCTAATTGGGGGTTTCCATAAATGGGGGATACCCCAAAATGGATGGTTTAGAATGGAACATCCTATTTAGATGGATGGTTTTGGGGTACCCCTATTTTAGGAAACCTCCAATTCTTCACGGGTAAACTTAGCATTTCATGGGGAAAATCAGTATTTCACGGGTATTTCACGCAACTTCATGGGCACTTCACACGAACATGTTTTGGCGGCACCACCTAGGATTCATTTATGTTCAGGGATTTTATCAAAATCTATGTCAGCTCTTCCCTGCTGCGCATGAGTGGTCCAACAGTATATTCCGGCTTAACAGGTGATGCCAGGATATGCCAGGGGGAGATAGGGGGGCCCACCAGGGTTAAACTTAGTATTTCCGTATGTCGAGGTGAAACTTGCCCTTTGAAGGGCTGGGCGAATGATATATCCTTCAGATCCCTCCCGCAATTTCTCGGATGGCGTTCAGAAAACCCCGTAGTTCATCAAGATGAATCATCAATGACATGGCTTTTCCGATTGCCTTCTTGGATTGCCAGAGTTACCAGAGGCTTTGTTTGGTGCTGTCTCTGTTTGCTGACTTTGTGCCAGTCAGGCCCAAATGGCACCGCCTGCCTGACGATTCCATTTTTAAAGGAATGACTCAGCATCTCGTCGAGAGAAACCTGATGGTTGTTGAATCATTGCGTACCGCTGTGGGGGTCGCTTGTCATACACAAGAGGTTTGAGAAAAAACTGCTGAGTCAATTTATTTTGATGACTAACCAGGCCTTGAAAAACAAATGCAACGTCCAGCCTGCAAGTCCCCTATAGATATTTTGATACTGCCACCAGATAATTTACAACAAAGTGAGCAGCTCACGGGTAGGAAGCGGCTTAGCGGCGCCCATAAACGCCCATCCGTTCACCGAGGCAACTGCCAAACGAGCAGTATGTCCTGTCCCTGCTGAAAACTCAAGCAACTTGACCAATTGGTGCCAGGCTGATAACCTCATCCCCATATCAAACACCCTCTAAATGGTTCCAAATATGTCTAAATCCCCTATGGAGATTGCAATAGAGAGAGAGAGAGATGTCTAAATCCCCTCCGGAACCATGGTTTCTGGGGTGAGTTTAATATTATAATGTCGGATGCTGATTGGTGTCGGGCCCCCCCAAACAATTTTTGGATCCACTTTAGGGTGGAAATGTTTAAGGACCAGGTCCTCAATAAAATGGGATCAATTGATTTTCAATTGATTTCAATTGATTTTCACTTGATTTCAATTGATTTCAATTGATTTTCAATTGATTTCAATTTACTGTCAATTGATTTCAATTGATTTTCAATTGATTTCAATTTATTTTCAATTGATTTCAATTTACTGTCAATTGATTTCAATTGACTTTTAATTGGCTTTAATAAGGCATCATTTGTTTTGGGAAATTGGACACTGAGAATTCCAAAAGAATGGAACTAAGAAAGTAAAAGAAAAAATCTCTAGCAAAGGAAAGGGCACAAAGAATGTTTGAAAATCTGTCACCTCAGGCAACAGCTGGACACAATAGAGGACCATCACAACAAACATACTGTTGAAGATCAATGCTGCCCATAGGCTACCCCCTTGAAAAATTGTGTGGGTGCTGTTTTTTGATTTTGGTTTTAATAAGGCATCCTCTTTATTGCTGATGGGTCACAGCCTTAAAAAATGTTTCTTCAGACAACAGCTGGACACAATAGAGGACCACCACAACAAACAATCAATCCATCAACCAATCTTCAAACATGTTTAAAAATAAGAAGCAATAAACATACTGAAAAAAAAACGAAAAATATCTGAAAAAGAAACTGGAAAAATGCTAGAAAAAACTGAAAAAACAAAAAACAACTTAACATAATAGTGGACCACCCCAACAATTCCACAGATCCAGATTTATCAGAATTATGTTGGGAAAACTTTACACAATAGTGCATCCTCGTACTAATCAGCATCCCACATTCATATATTATATAGGCGGAAGGAATCACGACCAGATTGCAAGCTCTTCAGGAAATGGTGCATGGTCAACTGCAATGGCGACAAGTGGAACGCTCTGTAGGCACAAAAAAGGGCTGGCAGATTGGTGTTTTCTGGCTGTGCCGGTAGCTGTTGAGTAGGGTTGAACATGGCTTCCCAAGATTCAGAGCTGGGCCCCTTCGAGCTTAAGCCTTGGTGTGCATGGTTTGGTCCGCGGGCCATTCTCTGCTGTAAACTTGACAAGTATATACACATAATATACATTAATATACACATATTATATCTTAAGTTCCTTTTTGATCTTTGTTTAATGAAAAACAGGAGGGCTTTCTGATCGGGCCAAACCAGCTAAGCTCAGCATGATCAGCTTCATGAGATTTGCCGGCCGCTTTTTCCCCCAGGCGTTGCTGAGAGTCAGGAAAAGCTGTGTCCTCAAGCCGTGACACAATTCTATTCATCGGTTCGGGCGTCCCCTTGATCAAATGGAGCTGATGAAACATGATAAAACTCCTCGAAAGCTGGGGTGTTTCGATGGGTTGAGCATCCTAATGAGGTGCCAAAACTGCTGAGTGTAAAGTGATAAACCATCCCCACTTGGGCCATTGGGGCTGTATTATTATTATTGTTCAGCATATCACTATATATAACATATGATATATACTGTCATATATATATATATATAGAATTATATATAATTAGATATGTTTATACACACCCACCTACTTGGGATAATGTAAAATGATCCCCCCGTGGCTAGCTATTGGGATTGATCTTCCTTGGGGGATGGGTCAAAACAGATTATTGCCATATTTGGACCCGGTAACATCCATTACCCTCTGGTAAATTAACAGTTTGCTATGGAACATGTAACATGGACCATAGAAATAGATGATGAAAGGCTATTCAAAATATTTCAAGATGTGATTTTCCATATGTTAGTTTACCAGAGAGTAAGCAGCTATTTTGGGGTCCCATGCGAGAGGGATGACCAAAAAATCGTTGCGGTAAACCACTGGGTCCCCCATTTCCCTGTTCCCTGTCGACCCAGCCCTTGCACCGAGGTTAGCACGACAAGATGTGATTCAACAACCGGAGTACCACGAACATTTGGATGCTCGCAGTGAGTAGCCTCTGGTAAATATACAAAATGCTATGGAAACTAGTGGAAATTCATCATTTTTAATAGGTAAAACATCTATTTCTATGGTCCATTTTCCATAGCTATAGTTAAATTTTCTAGTGAGTACCCGAAGTTGATAGACAAACGAAAGAACACGGCCCCCCCAAAAAAAACAGTTCTCTCTTCTTGTGGATTTGGGCGGGTCATTCGACATGGCCTCTCCACTTCGATTGCCCATTCTTTGGGCACTTGCTGTCGCAGATGTAACGGCAACTTTGATTATTCCAGGTGCTTGCCAGTTCCAAGCTGTCAATCACAGTACATATTGCTTTGGGTGTTTTTTATGCCATCTGTTTGCGCACGAGTTTGTCACGGTGTGTTTCAATTCGCTTGGGTTTGTTGCAGAATGTCAGATCCCACCATGTGTCAAATTGTGCCAGCAGAAGACTATCGCAAAATTAACTCCATGAACATCCCTAGTGTGACGTGAAATTCCAGGGTGAAAATGTGGAATATCTATCACAGATCATGGGCAATATCATATATAATATATATACACCCTTCCTATCCTTATCTCTCTCTCTCTCTCTCTCTCTTTCTCATATTATATATTTATATATATACATACTCGTATAGTATGTTCATGTATGTTCTGTGCATATGTCCCAGGCCGATCCAATTTGCTCAGGAGATGGGAATGTCGGTGAACGAAATGGTGGAGGAATTTTTGGAGGCCCCCCCACAGATCTCGGAGTATTTTCCGGTTGACCAAAGCCGAAAACCTGGGATTAGTTGGGCACCTGCTTACCGCGCCCCGGAAGAGAATCCACATGGATGAGATCAACAGTGAGATCAATGATCAACTGCTGAGCTATATTTTGGATTGCATCCCTGTGGTTTTGCCATTGATTGCAAGTTCCCAACCCCAGATTCATGAACCCTTGCTGACTGACCAGAAGGGTTACCCCAAAAAAGTGCAAATATCTCCCCAGTAAATCCAACCAAGGGCCCAAGGGCATATTGATCCGGGGTCAACACAAACATACATAAACGATGCTTCTCGCATCACATTTCCTTTTCTGGATATATCCATTGGGGTCTACCCCACCACCGGTAATCTCCAGTCATGCAAGCAATGGTCAGCAAACTTGAAATATATGTGCGAAACTGTTGTGAAGAACATTCTATGATCCAAACCTATTTGTTTATCTATTTCCGTGAAAGGGAAGCATGTCTATCGTCAGAGGGTCGGGCAGGACGCCGACTTCCTCCCAGCACAGGCTGGGGGTTGATGCCTTCCGAATCCAGGAACCAGCGATATTTTTCTCCTTTCAAGCCGCCAACTATGGGTGCTTCTTGTCCATATTTTGTCCCATTTGATACCCCACGAAGCACTCAAATCATTGGGGCATACCAGATTGGTTAAGAAAAGAAGGTCCAAGTCCCTACATGGATCCAGTATGGTGGACATGATTTTGTCTGAGAATATGGTACACTTTGAAATCAGTTTTTCTTTAAGATTGCATTTTTGAGGGCGTGCCCCATTTTCAGAGACACCCATAAAGATTCAGGAGGTTGGTCTTGTGCTTTTGGCAGCCCTTTCATGGTGCAAAATCCAAAATTGGACATAGATGCTACTATAATATGACTGGTTGGTGGTTTGGATTTTTTTCCCATATATTGGGAACAATCATCCCAACTGACTAATATTTATCAGAGGGGTTGAAACCACCAACCAGATGAGATGAATCATCACGGGGCATTGTTGTTTTTGGTGTGTTCTCATGTGCCCAGGTTTTAAGGCTTGACCGGCTTGACCTGGTACCATTTGGTACCATGACTGACCTCCCCCAGCGTATACCCAGCAGTTGATTCGGATAACCCATTGGCTCAGACGCACATCATTGGTTGCCCTTTTAAGTGCGGCCGTTACATGATGGGAGGACGGTTTCAACCTTGATTCAACGAATTTCCGTCAGTTTTCCGTCAAAGCCCAGTTTCCCTCCATTACTGTAACCTTCCTGAGCTGCTGCGCTGAAAAGGTGTTGCAGCTGCTGACTGACAACGAGAAAGCAGCTGCCAACGAATTGGCGGGCAGACTGTTCAAGACATGAATGCACAGCCGCAAAAATTGCTTGGTTGGTGGTTTCTACGCCACAAAAAGTCCAACCAAACTTGGAGTTTTACCGTGTTTAACCTGCCTACAGGGGAGATTCAGCTTGAATTTATAGAGGGCTCCAATATTCCAATGCAGTTTTCCAAAGTTCCAGATCGTATTGAAAGGATCAAGTGCATCAGCAAAGCCATTCTGGATTTGGAACTTAGCTAGCTTTTCTCCTGGAGGGATACACATGTAGGATGTATATAAGATACAGTACATACACAACATTGTAGAAGTATATGTATATATATATATTTATATTATATGTGATATATATATATGTGTGATATATATATATATATTATATACATGTGTTATATATATACATATATACATATATACATATATACATATATATATATATTATATATATATATATGTTTGCATACCAGATATTTATCCTCACATATGTATTCAGGCTACTTTGGCCTACGTAGTCTAGTTGTCCGTTTTGGTGTCATGCAATAGTCGACAAAAAGGCGCTTCATCTCTTGGAACATGTTCGGCAAAAGTGCTCAAAACGCACCAGGTTTTCCAGCTATGTCATGCCATGGATGATGACTGGCCGTTGAGCCACAATTCGTTCGGAGGAAACCAGCCAGCCAGTTTCAGCGCTCCAAGAAAAACGCCTTTCTTTCGGTGATCTTCGGCTGAACGTGCTGAACATCTACTGGTGAATGTATTTGTTCCAATATTGATCGGTAATTTATTGGGAAATAGTCGCTGATAATGATTGTATCTAGCCAGCAGCATGATAGTTGGGTTTGTCATGGTGTGTCTGAAAATCGGGGGCTTCCCCACATTTCATGGCACTTTGAGAAGGAACATATATAATGTTTTAAACTGGATTTTGGTTCTTAATTCCAGACAAATCCAAATGTTAAAAAATATGGTGCATCCCGAAAAATTGTGATAGATCCATACCCGGGCGCCGGAAGGTTCTAGAATGCCTATACCTGAAGTATAAAACCTTAGGGTTCTAGAATGGTAGTTTTTGGCATGGGGCTGATACGCCGCCCTTGGAAGGGTTGCTTATTTTGAGATGTGCCATTCAAGATCCCGTGGAGGGGTTGCAAATTTGAAAAATAAAGTTTGCGAAAATGGGGGGTTGAGGATTTGAATTTTGGCTTTGTTCAACATGTTGCACATGCTCTCTTATGGTCATCAGGGGTGGGGGGGTGATAACGTTCTTGATGAGTATTTTACATGGCCCACGGATCTTGTTGCCGTTGTGAACTAGTAGTTATTTCACATGGCCCACAGAATTTGTTGCCGTTGTATGCCGTTGTGTTAAAAAAAATGTACTCTTGGGCTTACAGTTGGACATGGCGTCATAATGTTGCCTTGATTCGCCTTGTTGGAGTCTGCGGCCGTGGCGTTGCCGAAAGCACTTTGGCACTGAGACTTCGAGAAGAGAAAAGACATGGATGGGTCGGATGGGTGGATGTTTGCATGGGATAATGGAAAGTCATAAATGTCTAATTAATGCTTTTTTTTGTCAGCCCTCGAAGAACAAAATCGATTCACCGCACAGGCGAGACGCATATTTTGACACTTGAGTCACATGCCTGCCAATCGAAATGAATGCCCATGTTGCAAACATTCTTTGATTAACCTCACAAATACCAGCATTTTGTCTCTTAGCCTCGAAAATCTCGATTTCAATTTGTCACCCTTACAAGATTGCCTAGTTTTTTCATTGTAGAACCCTGCGCGCTTACCATTGTAGAACTTTGGAAGTTCGTATAAAAGGTAAAAAATGTATAATATGTATGATGGTGTATGGTGCAAGTGTTGTCCCTGTTGTAATTGAGTATATACATGTATATACCAGTTTTTTGGCAAACTACCCGTGATCGCCAGTAAGCCAGTGAGCGAAACCAATTTTCCAGTTTCATCCTCCTGTTTTTCAACCCATTTGGCACAAAACCTACAAGGACAACACGCAGTGGAAAAATCTCGCATTCATAGTTCAGTCCGTTTCTTGGGCTTTTGTCAGAACACTTCTGACTGAATTTGTGGGTTCAGAGCAGTTTCGGGGTGGCTAGCTGTACCTTTACCTTTGCACCACAACAATGCTGCGGATTTGATAGGATTTGCGTGTGGCGTCTCTGATACGGGCCCCAATAGTATTATAAGTGAGCGGCCAATTGGTAGAAAATTATCCAACCCAAAGTGAAGGAACTATCTCCGAACCTTTGAAACGAATATATAGTGTAAACTCTTCTCGAATCTATTAACTCTGGCAGGCCCCTTCTTTGTTTGTATTACTGTTGCAGTATGGTGGGTCTAGTATGATATCCCTCAATTCCTGTTGGAACTTGACCCGCCCAATACAAAAACCATCTCATTTTTTTCCGCAGAACACAAGCATTCTCAAATATGAGAAGCCGCTCCTCTTTGTCCTTAATGTCCTTACTATTGCTCAAGTATTATGGGTCCAACATGGTATCCCGAAACTCCTGGAACTTGACCCCCAAGATTACCATAGATTACCCCATGTTCAATTGACAGATGTAGTCCCAAAATGTCACCAATGCAACTGCGATAGGTTTATTCCGCATGTGATGGTTAGACCCTTGTTCTTTTCCTGTTACGCAAGAAAAAACCTACTGTCTTGAAACAACAAAACTGCGTGTATTGTGCTGTTTTATTCATGTTGTGTTGAATCTCTTTGTATCTTCTCTCGTGCCGGGTAGCTCAACATGTCTCAAGCACATGCGAGAAGATCTGAACAACTATTTCAAAATATCATAAATAACTAAATGTCCCTTCAGTTTCTTGATTTTTGTGGCGATACATTGGGATGTTTGGCCACGCTTAGAAGATCACCGATCAGAGCGAGCCCACTCTTAGGGAGCCCACGGCTGCATGTGCAAGATTTCAGAAGCATTGGGGTGACGCCCAGCAAACAGGAAACACCAAAGAAGTTCTAGCTGCGGAAATTATACTATGGTATAATATGGTATATACTTTGTTTTTTTAAATGATTTTATGTTTCATATCTCAGAAACTCATATATATATATATAACATCATTGAACATATTTTTTAACGTGTAAAAACTATGTTATGATTCCACTTGATCCCTTGATTGCCATATGTTGGAGAAAAAAAACATGTCCGAATCCTCGCAGTTGGCCTACAGCGATTTTCTGCAGTGCAGCGGTTTGGTGCAGTGGGAGCCGTGGGCCATTTCTGTGGGCTGTAGCTATCATGCTCTATGCCTCAGCGCGGTTTCGGATGGCATAGACACGTCACAAAAACCGCGGCGGGGCGCGCGGACGGCGCGGACTGTCTGTGCCAATTGATTTCCTGCAGCGAAGAGTTGTGTCGCGGATCTTCATGGAGACCCTGCGGCCATCAACGCGTTCTGTTTTTTTCTAGGGCAAGTGAAGACCAAAGGTTTGTGGCTGTGATACTGCTCCAAGATTGGAAGAATATGGAAGAACATGGAAGAATTATTTGTGGTATCATAGAGTCCAATCATGTTTGTCTATAATGTCAACCCCGGATTGATAAACCCCTGAGGTGTTTCTTGGGGGGGGTTGTATTAGGCCCCCCTGATTAATCGGTCAGGGTTTTGCTGAATTCGTTGTTGCGTTGTTGATTAGTTAAAGGATAGTTAAAGGATGTTAAAGGTACAGTACCCAAGTGAAATTTACATAGCCATGAAAGATACTTGACAATTGTTCATGTAGGCAAAACATCACAAATCATCGAACTAAGTGCACTATTTTCCATAGCCATCTTAAATGGCCACTACAGGTAAGCCACAATGAGCCATTCTTCAATTCAGCCCTTGCCGGAGGGAGTGTCGTCCACAGCAACTGACCGCAACTGCTGCCCGCGATGAGAAGCATCGCTCGTAGTAACTTTAAAGTTTGAAGGTGAACTGCATCGGTTGGAGGGATAAATATTGAAGCCTTGTTCATGCTGTAATTTTTGGGCTCATGTGCATCCTAATGTTGAGGCCTGTGAAGTATGTGCTTTTGGCCCGGCCCAGGATATTTCGCTCGAGGCTCTGGAGAATGAAGGGTTTTAGTATCATTGAAAATCTATGTCTAGAGCCTATATCGAGCTATCAAGAGCGACCAAATGACATTCCTTGTTTTCTTTAATTTCAAAGGTCCGTTGCGGTATGTTGGGGTCTTATGAGGTTTTGGGGTTTGTTCGTGGTAAGGGGAAGGGTTTTTTCATGTTTTTCCAATGGGAAGATTTGATTTGGCTGACAGGGATGCCGAAGATACTATAGCTTCCAGCTGAAGCTATGACCTGATTGTGTCACCATGTGTCATCACTTGGTTTCAGGCCGGATAAACCCTCCGGCATCGATGCAGTTCCAATGGCATGGGAGCTCCCGTTCAGTGCCACGATTTTGACACCCAGGTCGCTTGGGACAATGGTCCATAGCGCCGGTGTAGATTCAGCAAGCCGCGAGCAAAGCTTGAATTCTATAAAAGAAATCCGACAACATCGATCAGAGTATTTCGTGCTCTGCCAGGCGTTGTGACTTATGCCTGGTCTGAAAGTTCGGGGATGCGACTTAAAGGTGCTTCCCCGCTCGAAGTCGAGGCAGTCGCGGCTGCAAAACTGCGGTGGAGAGGGTGGGTGTCGGTGAGCTTGAGGAAGATACGACCATCAGGGGGCTGACCCGATCATAGAGAATTTCCTCCTTGTCATGTTATGAGGTAAACTGGTAAAGTCCATAAGAGATCAGCCGCGATTTGGGGTGTACTAAACAAGGCATACCCTGTTTGGATTTGGGATGATACAACATGACTCCAATTGGTGGGTTAATGGGATTGTTTATGTTTCATACTTGGGTTTACCACAGATGAATTGCTTGAATTTATTTGTTGAACTTGGCAATTTTGAGGTCTTAGATTCCCGCAGGCGCATATTGTCATATAGTTTTTGCGCACAGATTTCTGGCATCAAAGAAATTACATAAGGATGTGCAAGGAATCATCTCTTCTGGACCAAACAGCATACATTGGGCGACTGTTGATGCTATGTACATCTACATACTACGTTTTTATATGTTTGTCATCTTTTCTTCAACAAACCTGCGACTGCGACCTATCTTGTCACTAGCTTGATACCGTCACAACCTGGATTTGCTGAAGATGTGTTGTTCATGGTTGTTCTATTTTCCCTTTGTTAAGCCACCAGATACGGAAAGTCTGTAGGGAAGACGTGTTACTTTTTATGGTCCCCCGGATCGCAAATCCAACTGGCCATGGCAGCGGTCGAAGAAGTTATCGACCAGGTTGAGCTGGGGCAGAGGGTAAGCGACTGTCGATACATCATGATTAGTCGTGTTTTACATTGAACAATGGTATACAATGGTTGTAAACTCTCTTGTTATTCGTTCAGTACTGCTGAAAGTGCAAGCGATTTCAACCGTTCCCAAGATGATACTGATACTTGCTTAGAGGAAAAAACGATAAACAACGTAGAACTTGGCCCTCTTTGAGGCCGGATGGTTCCCGAAACACCCACACTTTCACGATTTTTCGTTCCAGAAACGCGCACACTTTCACGATTTTTCTTGTACATGTTGAATTGGGCTGACTATGGGTTATCCAATCAGAATCCCCAATAAAGTGGTAGTATAGGTCCCAACATAATATTAACATATATTAACCAATCAACCAGGGTGTCTTTAGTGACTTCCATATCCTCAGGATGACAGGTCTAGCCCCATTTGGTCCAGCACAGCAGGCGGGTGACACGGGGGCAGGGTGGTTAGAGGTGTCCTTTCAGAAAAGTTGACAGCTAACAGCTAACAGTTGATGATTGTAGTGGTTTAAAAATTGTATATATTCTATTATGCAGATGTATATTTAGTATATTATAATACGTAGATATATGTATATAGTATATATAGGCTTGTCCCACCTCTTGGAACTACATACCATGGGGGGGGATGGGGTGGGATGTTAACGTTCATGTGAACTTGCAGAAGCAGTTGATGCTACGCACACGCGGGGTGGGGTGGGGTGGGATGGGGGTGGGATGTTAACGTTCATGTGAACTTGCAGAAGCAGTTGATTCGGAGAGGTCCTCAAAGCTGTGCGAGACTTGCAGCTCCCGTGACGAGACAAAAACCAGAACTGGTCTCACATGTTTCTGGGAGAGGTCTTCAAACACCGTGTTCATGTTCATACTAATGCTGATGATGATGATGTCCTGATGATGATGATGTCCTGATGATGATGATGATGATGACCCCAATGAAACTTGTCAATTCCGGGACAAAATGTCGTCCCGGAATTGACAAGTTTTACCAACCTAATTCGGGCTGTGCGCAGTTCCAAGAGGTGGGACGAGGCTATACATACTACTAATTATGATTCTGATCATTAATTATTAATTATTGTTACTCCATGTTCACGGAAATGCGTCTCGAAATGGTGGATGTTCCGTGGCTTAGCAAGACCCCATGGTGGAGCGGCACAGGTGACACCCGGTGCCGCTCTGCTCTTTGGCTTGGCCATGGCCCGGGTGCAGGTTTGCTACTCATCCCACCGCCATTAAAAATATAACGAAAAACCACAGTTTCTATGGGCGTAATATCAGGGGAAAGAGATTTCTAAGTCTAGAATATGGATATCCTGGATGTCCCTATGGATTTTCTTATGAATTTTCCTCTGGATTTTTCCATTGCTGTGTCAGATTCCCATAGCCATGGCACAGCCACCAGAGCCAACTTCAGCAGGTCAATGAGGTGCATTGTACCGCACTGATGTCGTCGGTGTCCTGGCAGATTGCCGTGGAGCTCTTCGAAGTTTGCCAACGAAAGATGCTGCAGAGACATAGCTGTGTTGAGTTGTTGGGTAAACCTTGGAGAGGTAGGTAGTTATAAGACTATTTTAAGCCCTAGTTTCATTTTTGTTGGTTGTTTTTTTTTGAACTGGCAATATGAAACAGCCAAAAAGCTAGGGCGCAGACCTTTGAAATCGGCAATATCTATTTGGGAAAACAACTGTTGTGAGCTGAGCTGTTCACCTGATGTTTAAGAGAAGAATTTAGTTTCAATTAGCAATAGCTGCATTTTCCACGGCGTAAGCTTGGGGGTCTCAGCCCAGATGTGGTGGTTGCGGAGGTTCCCGGGATGGTTGAGCTGGGTGAAGCATTTTTCAATGTGCAATGGGTGGGTATCCCCTGGTAATGACTAACATAGCTATTGAAAATGACGATTTATAGTTGATTTACCCATTTAAAATGGTGATTTTCCATAGCAAACTGTTAGTTTACCAGAGGGTAACTTCCTTTGAAGATCAGATACCTTGATAGCTCATGGGCAACTAAATTGGGTTGGACGGTTGGACCATAAGCCCCCGGTGATCAAAATCTTGCAGTGGATGTCACAAGGGGCCTGAGTGTTAGACACCCGAGTTGCTGTAGTCTTGTGCGGGAACTTCCATTGAAGCAAGCAATATGGGTTCCCGAAAAAGTGGGGGGAGGGGTAAGATCCTGCTATCTTGGAGTATTACTATGCTAGCATATGCTAGCTCTACCCTGAGTCAAACTGAGATAGATATGGAAAACCATGGAAAACCTCCAGACCAGTTTCCTGAGTTTCCAGACCCATCCCGGTTTTTTCGTGCTGTGGGGTAGACCAGATGCACCTCGGCTGCCCAGGAGTGATACGTTTCTATGCAGCGCAGTGATCAGTGCATACCAAAGAGCTCGAAGGTGGCACTTGGCCATTAGTGGGCTGGAGCACTTTGGATGCAATTTAGCCGAGGGTCGAAGGGTGGGCCATGCTTGGGTAGGTCAGGGGGCATTTCTTCTGCCATGAATGGAGAGAGGATATGGATGGATGGATGGATGGATGGATGGATGGCTGGATGTACTACCCAGATGATGTAAAAAAAGCAGTGAGTTGGATTAGCAGCCCCACTAGCAGCGAGTTGAATAAACCTACCATTTGGGGATGGTCAATGCCAACTATTTCCGGGCATATAGGTTATGTTTTACCATTGGGTTTACCACACTAAGATGATTATCCAAGTAGCCCAAGTATCATCGACGATGGCCAACTGTGAGCCAGCTTCAGGTTGGAGAGCATCAATCAGGCAGCTGTCGCTTGGGTGGACTTCCGCAAGATGACATTGAATTACTCTGAATTATAATATGTGTAAATAGATTGTTAGATTAATATACAATAATATACATGTATGTACATACACACATTGACATTGATTTAGAATGGACCAGCTGATGCTTTGACTGCCATGATTTGCCATATCCATTCTCCAGGTTTTTTCATCTGAATTCAAGCATATAGTCATAGTCTATTCTAGGGTTTGTAGGAAAGTCCTGAAACTTTAGCTAAGGGAGCTGCATGGAACCAAGTGGTGGTGGCTATTTCAGCTGCGTGCAGCACCTGACCGCAATGATTGACACAGGTCGCTTATGGTGCAGTGATCAGTGCTTGCCAACAAGCCAATGAATGGAAAGTGGCGGAGCGTCTCTTCCGGGATATGCTACAGCTGCAGGCTGCTTCTCCAACAGGTCTTCTTTCACAGGGATGGTGCAACAGCATGTCACAGCCAAATAGCACCAGAAGTACACATATAATATCATATAATATATTAGATAAATGTCCCAACTTAACTTAGGTTATGTTTATATTTTTATTCATGCTGGCAGGGTAACAACGCATATCCACCTTTCAAGATCACGTTTCAGTCCTAACATTAAATTTGAATTCAGATGGTATTCAATTTCAATATATATATATAATATATATTCACAAATATATATATATATTCACAAATATATATATATATATACATATTCACAAATATATATATATATATATATATTCACAAATATATATATATATTCACAAATATATATATATATATATACATATATTCACAAATATATATATATATAAATATAAATATATATATATATATATTTGTATGAGAGAGTATAATATTCCCGCCGAAGAATGATATCTTTAGATCCACTCTTCTCATTTTCCCTCCTGGAAAGCCTGCAGATGGAAAGCAACGCGCAGATCCTGAGTGCGTTGATGGCTGGTGGCGCTTGGAAATCCTCTGCGAATGCCTTGGCCAACGTCCAGGTTCACACCGGGCTGGGGTTCATCAGGGTGCCCGCAGTGCCTCTATATATGTAATGTAATGTACTGTCATGTGCTATGCTGTGGTGGTATGTTTAGGGTTATTCAATCTGTTCTGTGTTATGGCTATTTGTTACTGTATTGTTGTTGGCGTTGGATTTGTGCTAGTTTTTTCCTTGGTGTTTCTATTTTGTGTTATGTATCCATCCATACTACTGGGGGGTTTAAGGATCCAAAAAAGACAGGGGTTGAAGAAACAAAAAACATCAAAAAACAGTGTCACCCACAAAAAATGGTGTGTGGCAACAAAAAGACGGGGTGGTGTCGCCGAAGGTCCGCGTGGAGGGCGCAATAAAAAAAAGTGGTTTGACCAACAAAACGAGGATATACTTGACCAACAAAAAGAGGATATGCGACCCAAGGACATGTGGACATGGGTCCTGATTTAATATCAAGATCCACGGGGCAAGCCTGAATTGATCATTTTAAGCCACCCCAGTTTCATGACCCATGCTCATCATTTATATATATATATTTTATATAGCTAAACCATGTTAAAGCATGTTAAACCCACGCTCAATCAATGGTTGAAGCAGAGATGAAGCAAAGAAGAAGCAACTGGGACCCGGGACGGGATGTTATGCCAGTACGCGGGCTTACGGATGATCAATATTGACAGGTTCAAATCTATTCAAACGTGACAATCGTGATTTTTGTGCATACGTGTTTACATGTGTAATTTTTATTGCCATTGTTATCTATTGCTTATTGGTCATTGCTTTGCGGCTGACAAGGGCCTACCATTCACCTCCAAAGTCCCAGAAATGGATGGGACATTTTGAGGGGTCAAAAACATGGGTTTTTGGCTGGGATTTTGCCCTAAACGAATCCATTCTTTCAAAGGACACAACATAAAATGGGTATAGTTTTTGCTACCCAACGTTTTCCGCATGAGATTGCCATCACTTTGGCTGGTAGATCCCATATTTCTTCCCAAACACATGAAGGTGTCCTAAGTCATGGGGATCCCCAAAAAATTAATTCATTCCAATAGGATGTTCCAACGCAATAAACCATAGAATTGGATTTTATGGGAAAATTTACAGGAAAGCCCTATATTTGATGGTAAAAACCCATGGGTTTCCGGTTAAGACTTTCCCAGCAAAACCAATCCAGTGAAACCATCCAGCTACCCAGGGCTACCCCCAGGGGCCCCATGTTCCCGACGCCTCAGGTGGACCCGGTCCTGGCCAGTGCCGCAATCAGCGCCTGCGATTTTCTGGCTGATCGCTGGCAGCAAGGATTTGCACAGCCCCATGGTCGGAAACATGGTCCATGGTTATACATGGTTATACCATAGTTATACCATGTTATACCCTCCAGTTATTCCAAAGTTGTTGCTGGGGAAAATGGACCGTTGACTTCGAGGATGTTTAATGATTTTTAGGTTTATATATTGATTTATAGCTATATATCATGTTCTGTGAGTTTGCCAGAAAGCATGATGTCCTTGGGAATGTGAACTTTCAAATTTTGATTTCAGGGTTTTGATTTCTGAATCACGGAGAGTATGGCGTAAGTTGCGCTCCACCATGGAGGATTTTTCTTGGATTCTCCAGAAACAGATCCAGCAGGAAACGATATTCCAATGGATAGCGCGGATTTGAGGCTGATTTTCTTCCAGCAGCATTTGGTGGAACTCAATGTCTATAGCGGCTTGTCAGCACATCCTACGTGCTCTATGCACCTACAGCTGAGATCATTTAGATGCAACATTTGGGTACATGCAAGTATCCTACTATACACGGAGCATTTGCACACAAAAAGGCCCCGTGAATTTGATGAACCTTAAGGGTACCTAGGAAGAAGGTCTCCGGCCCGATATGATGGAGATTCCCTTAGGATCTTTTTCAAACGACATGGATCTTTCTCAAGGTATATAAATGAAATGGCATGGAGACCGGGTTTCGAGCAGAATATAAAATGTTGCGTGGAAACTAGACTATATAGAGGGTGGAGATTTGTGATTCTGCAAATTGAACCAAGGGACCAAGGGTATTTCGTGGAACTCCATGTCAACATCATTGTCACGTACATGTCACCACACACCGTTGGATTCACACCAACATGTTGGGATTGGGATCAAATTCAGGATCCAGAAACCTTCAGTGATACATCCCTGACCTTTCCACAGGGATCCACAGGGGACCTGAACTCTTGGGGATCCTTCGCGGGGGGATTCAACCCAAGGATCATTGTTCGGGTCATACGTGTTCAGTGTCATACCATCATACCCACATAACTTTAATAACTATTGATCAGACTTGGTGGTGGCTTCTGATAAAAGTAAATTCAAAATGCCGGGCCAAGTGGCAGGCATCGTTTGGTTGGTTATGTTAAGTCTTGACCGTTCTCCGTTCCCGTAAATCGAATAGGGTTCCCTCTAGATTCTAGATATACAGTCCTCAGTCATCTCAAGCTGCTAGAAACCTGTGGTGATATGAGCATATATGAGCCAGATTCAGGTGTGATCTGTGAAATTTTCATGGAGAGGGTGTTTGTGCGTTTGGTGTACCTATGGGACATCCTCCTTCAGCACGTCATTTTTTAAAACTGGACTTCGTGAATGTCGTGAGAGATGGGTGATGAGTGACACCATCGACACGGACAGGGCAAAGCCATTCTCACACCCCCAGAACATGGAAATTCATGGAAATTCAATTTTCAGGCATGACTTTACATATTCTCGCATTTTGGACACTGATGATCCATTCCGGAAGTTCAACTCGCAGTGGGTGTGAGAAACCCCCATGGATGGCCCACGAACGGCCCAGAGGTTACAACAGCGCGATGAAGGGCTGCGAGCGATCAACTCAGCGATGGACGGCAGCCAGTAACATCTTTCAAAGGATCGAAGAAGACCTGCTGCAGATGAATGTGGTGAGTTATAACACCCTCATCAGCTGCTACAGCCAGGAGGGATCAGCCTGGCTAGGTTTAACATGGTGTAACCTGGGGGGTTAGGTGGGCTTGGTTGAGCATGCTTTTGCTAGTGAGAACTGGTCAGTAGGACTGTGGAATTGGGAAGGGCCCTTTGGAGATGTGATCTCTAGCGTTATTGAATGTGTTCAAGGGCAAGTAGGATATTGTCATATTGTAGGTATAGACCTTACAGTAATATCAGTTAGTTCTGTGGAACAGTTGTGCTCGCCCAACGTCTCCTCAGCTGCCGTGGCCCCCTATGACTGGATGCTTTCAATCAATCCATTGAAAAACATGGCTGGAAGGTCAGCAATTTGAAGATGACTTAGCCATGCCAGGTCTGACTCACAAAAATGCAAAGCTGATGCATTATTAAACATAATTCAGATGATTTAATCTGTACACTGCACTAACTAACATAGAGAGAAAAAGATGAAGAAAACTAGTCTTGGTTCCCCAAAAATATCCATCATCCACCATTTCACGGCCAGCAATGGACTATAGCCCGGTGCTCACTGCAACCTCTCTGACGTGGCCAGGTGTCTCATTGGATGTTAAGCCTCGCAAGCTGCTTGGAGCTACGCTGCAGTGGCCTACGGCCGTCGGAAGTGAGCACGGCAGTCAGCTGCAGTGGCTGTGAGAAGGGAAGACACTGGCAACTTTGGCGCTGGAGTTTTCCCATGGAGGTGTTGTGTAGTTTGGGGTGGATTTTGAAGTATATTTAAACTTAAACCAAAAAAAGGCGAGATGTGGTGTTGTAATTTTCTTGTTTTGTTTGGTGCATTTTTAGGAGATCCAATGAGAATTGGTTCATTTTGGCAAATGGAATGGAAGGGGCTTATTTAATAATAGGAACACACTGCTGTCAACTCATGTGTTTCCCCCCATTATTTCAAGCCGATCAATGTCATTCGTTGTTATTCTATGTGATCCTCATTCCCATGACTGACCTCACGCAGTGTTGTGGTGTATCTCCTCCTCCTTGTTGCAATTGTTTAGATATATCATGACATACCCCATGCTTATTTGATTTTATCCACAGCTTCCTTGATTATTTTTGGCATGTGAATCCATTCTGAAAGGCACATGAACTCCATTTGCGGTGGTCAACCCACCGTTTGAGTCATGTCGCATCCAATTTATTCAGATCAGATACAGATACATCTTCAGTCATATTGCATCCCAAGAAAAAGATATATATATATATATATACATATAATTATATAATCAGATTTCTTTCCCCAAATCCAATGGCAAACCATCATTTTCCCCATCAAAGATTGACATTTTGGGTATACCACCATTTTCAGACAAACCTAATTGAATAATATAAAGTTGAATGATTATATTTATATATAGATATTAATATAGTATTTATATATCCCATTAAATCCTCACCGTAACAATCATGAACAATCCTTATGGTGAAACCCCAGGCAGATGGCCTCCATGTTGCTCTCCACTTGGCGCAGCTGCTTCAGCTACGGCGCGGTGGTCAGTGCCTGTGAAAAGTGCAGCCAATGGACGGAGGTGGGATCAAGTGCACATGGAAAGATCTGGAAAGTGAGTTTTCCATTGAACTTATAAACTTAGCTAAAACTGTAGAAATGTGTAGAAAAACTATGATAGTTTTTCTACACATTTCTACAGTTTTAGCTAAGTTTATAAGTTCAGACTTAGAAAGTCAGTGTCTAGACCATGAGGTTTGGAGGGCTCACCAAATCCTCACCAATCTGGATAAATTCGCTAGCAGCAAGTTGCAGTCTAGTGAAATACGATGATTTACCAAGAATCATGTCATTAAGTATTTGGATAAAGTACAAAAAAAACATTATTCTTGAGAGGTAAACTTAGGATATATCTAGATCATACCACTATATAATTATATAATACTATATATTGAATATTGTTAGAAAATCCTGTAAGTGATTTGGATAGTTTGTGGTGTGGTTTAATGGTCATTCATGTTATGTCACTCCTTAGATTGAGTCGTTGATTCAGAGCTCAGCAACGCCAAGCTAGTGCCTTGCAGTTGATCAGGGCTGGTTCCTGGGCTTATACTGACTGGTTCCATGGGAATACAAACATTTATAAACTGGGGGCTAACAACACAATCTCCCACCTCACTTTCAGCAAATGGCCACGGATGTCTGAAAAATCCACTAGTTTGATCATGTCCATCAATGTCCGTTCATTTTCCTTCAATGTTTCCCCGTGAGGTCTTCCATATGGCTCTGACTTGATTGTTTTTTTAATGTTTTTTCTATGGTTGTTCTATGGTGGGACCCCCAGGTCGTCACAGCCAGGCCTTGGCGCTTCTCTCAGCTCCGCCCCGCAGCGCCACCACGGTGAATGCTGCGGTGAGTGCCTGCGAGAAGAGCTCCTGCTGGCGACACGCGCTGCAACTCATGGGGCTGGCGGAGGTGCGAAACGTATACGAAAAGCTCATGAATTTAGCTGTTGAAAATACCGGTTGATCGGTTCCCATAGGGACTAATTGCTACTCGTACCTGGGTAATTGGGATGGAAATTTGCCCAGCAAAAAAAAGAGGAATTTCTATATGTCTTAGCCAAGAAAAATGATAAAAATGGGAATTGGGATGCCGATGGTCTGATCGACAGAAATGCTGAACGGTCTCCAATGATGAGCTGGGTTTCCTTGCGAACGAACGGACGTCGGGATGTTTCCGGCACCACCGGATGTTGGGCCCATTTGGTAGAACCAGTTTGCCAGCATTGACCCATACTGTAGCGTGAAAAATGGTGGGGTGCCTCATTGTCACCAGTGGGAAAGTCCAACGATCAAGTGCTAGTTCCCTGTCATGGCTGACGTTTGAGACTCTGGCTCTTTCAGAAAGCCTCGTATCTACCCTCTGGTAATGACTAACATATATTGAAAATTGCTATTTATAGTGGATTTTCCAATTAAAAATGGTGATTTTCCATAGTTATGTTAGTTTACCAGAGGGTATGTATGTTTAGAATCGTCGATGCATTGTTTTGTGCAATTCAATGTCGTTCATAGCTTTCTCCATTCTGACAAGTTTCAGGCCATGTTTACACAGGTATTACAAATCAAATCCTATTGTTTCCATATGTTTCCTCACAATCTAATAGCTGGAAATTCTTGGAAAATTCACTTAAATCCATCAACTCATTCCTCAACTTGAATCAAATCGTTGGAATCTATGGTTTTGATCATTAACCATTGTCAACTATATGGTTTACCCTTTGGTTATAGTTGATGTACCTATTTTTTCAGATATTTAAAGATGGTGATTTTCATTGATTTTCGATATTTACCCATCATCAACCATAGATAAACCATAGATGAACCATAGATAAACCATAGATAAACCATAGATAAACCATAGATAAACCATATATAAACCATAGATAAACCATAGATAAACCATAGATAAACCAGGGAAATCTGCTTCACCACAGATGCGCTGTGATGTCATCACTTGGACCGCCGTGGCTACAGCCTGTGCTTGTGCTGCTTGGCGAGTGACCTTGCAGCTGCTGGTGAGGACATCCATCGTTGATCCATGGTTGATTCCCTGGGAATGACTCAGGGTCCTAAAATGGAGGTACTGTACCATATAACCCATAGGATCCATGTATGCGATATATGGTAACATTTACCATCAATATACCCCCTTTATGTTAGCATATATGCCATACATGGATCCTATGGGTAAGGGCATATAAGGGCATATATATATATATTCTAGGGGTATCACTGATATCACCTTTATGTAAGGCCTGAAATAGAGGCCTTGTATATGGTAGGTACCTCCAATTTAGGGTCCTGAAATGACCGTTGATTTATCCATCGTTTATCCATCGTTTATCCATGGTTTATTGAGATCTGGAGATGGGCCAAAACTGGTGATACAGGGAAGGGCCGGGAAGGGGAGAAGGAAGCGCCAGTGACTCACGTTCTTGGGAGGGGTTCATACTTTGAGAACCTCCGTGTATGCAGAGCATTCTGGCATGAAAACGATGAAACATGATAAAACCGAAGATCACGCTCTTGTAACGCAATCTGGCAACGGGATCTCCTTTATTTGATGATTTGCCCATTGAAAACTGGGATTCTCCATTGCCATGTTTTTTCGCGGAGGATGTTGCATCAGAGCCTCGCGCCGCAAGAGCTGGCGTGCGATGCGGAAGTGACTGCCCTGTCCAAGAAGTGGCAGGCTGCTATGGTGTGCTACAGGAGCCGTGTCGATGTCGGCGTCACAGATGAAGAGGTTCTGACACACAGGAGGCTCTACATAGCAACCGTTTCGTAACCCAAAGAGATAGAACATTAAATCATCCCTATTTTCAGTAGGATTCTCATGGATTCAACATTTTTTGCTAGTTACTATTGATTATATGTTCTTTAGTCCAAATCTAGCGTGAAGTTGTGTCACGTTGATTTTCCGCACCGGCCTGGATGATTGAAACTTAAATTCGTCGGCCCCCAACATGGATCTCAAAGTCTATTGGACGTACTTTTGAAGTTTTAGCTATACTAGAGGACTTGCACTTAGAATATTAAGTCAATCAACTTCCACCAAAAAAAAATACCAGCGGCCTCCCTGGGGGGAATATTCTAAGTGCAAGCCTGGATTCGCAGATAGAATATTTTAAAAAATATATTATATTAAATGGATAATGGTCTTGAGAATATTCTAAGTGCATCAAATGTGTGAAACACCTGCATTTTTTTTTCGCAAAACAACCCCTGGCTTGAGGTTGTACCAGACACCAACATGTATGTACATGTATGCATGTATATCTATCTATATATTAATATATATATATATATATATTTATTTTCTTTCATATGCATGCATGTACGCGATGCACATGATATATTCATATATGCAAACATTGTGCTATTCTTAAGGTAGGTATTTAGAGCACATATACACATACAACCGTACCACATGCAGGCATATTCTAAGTGCATGGATTTTGTGAAACACCTGTGATTTGTTGCAATTGGGCTGGTTGGGTTCATATTCTTTCACCAGCAAGGTATCCAGTTGGAATCAAGAATGGTTTATATATAAATACATATATATATATACATACATATGTACATGATTGTTTATCATGTTTACATGTACAAAGCATCCCCATTGCACATAGGAACACATGCAGTTATTATTCTATGTGCATCGATTTTGTGAAACAGTCCTAAATTTCTATTAAAATCATGCTTCATTTATAATTTTGTTACTATATATGTGCAAAAAATGGAATATTCTAAGTGCACTGGTTTTTGCCCCGGGGACATATGGTTTTAAGGATATTCTAACTGCATAGTCGATAAAATTGAATATTCTATGTGCTAGTTTGCTAGTATAAATCATACTATTGAATATATCATTTATTGAATGTGATAAAATTGAATATACATCAGTTTATTTTAATTATATATATATATATCATTTTACTTTGAATATATATATATATATCAAAATAAATAAATAAATAAAAATATATATACATATAATATGTATATATAGATATATTAATTAAATATATCTGTAGAAGTGACCAGAAAAGGTACACGTACTATTTTAGTACTATTGGCCATTGGACCAAAAAGTACGGTGGGGAACACCTCCGTGGAATGTTCTTTTTTAAGCAAAAAGATCTAAAAAGATCTAAAAAGTACGTTGGATTATGTGGGATTATTGGGCCCCAAAAAGCTCCTGCCAGCAATCGAAAAGTCACCATGTTGCGAGATTTTGAAAGCATGAGTTTTTGCGTCGGACCCATAAGGTACGAGTGAAAGCCCTAGAAGCGATACGCTAAGACCAACATAAGGTACGTAGAAAGTCGTGAGAAAGAGTGAGAAATCGTCAGCAATTGTGAGCATTGTTCTTCAAGATATGTTTAAGTTTGACCGCCATTCAGCAAAGTTATCTCGTCAGGTTTTGCCTTGTGGGGTTGATGTTCTGTTTGGTAAAATAACATGATTGGCCGGGAAAAAAAACATACATGTTCTACAAATAATATGATCCCCATTAATTACCAGGTTCAAATGAGAGATGATCACCAATTAAAGCCGGAAGAACCCTCAGACCAAGCACCATAGTATGGGCAAACAAAATTGCCCAACCCAAAGTTTGATGCTTAATCACCATGTTTTCTCACTAAGATGAACTTGAGTATACGGATATACCATGATATACAGCTCATTACCGCTCCCTTATTTTCAAAGATATCGTTACCCAATTCCAATCATGAGTTCCCATCCAATTCCAACCATGATTTCCCAGTAGAATCAGTAGAATCCCAGTAAGTCAGTCCCTGACCAATTCCACCAGCTCAGGAACTACCAGTCCCAGCGCCTTCAACCCTTGGCCGCTAGCCTATCAACCTGCCTCGCCGCGGCAGAACGCGTGGCCGCTGCGGGAAGTTTTCCAGCGGCCTAGGCGCCTAGGCGCGGAGATGGGGCGAAGATGGGGCGAAGCATGGCGAAGCCCAGAATCCTGGGCAAGTTATGGGAAATCATTGCTGGTTCCACTGCTGACATGTGAAAATTGAGAAAACCCATGGCTACCCTCTGGTAAATTAACATAGACCCTGAAAATGACCAATTTATAGTGGAAACTAGTCTTCCAACCTCTATTTATATTTGGCAGGGTCTATGTTAATTTACGAAAGGGTATTTCAATAAAATACTACTGTAAAACATTCAGATATGATATCTGGATGTTCTCTGAAATGGCCAGGTGAAATAACAATATCTTGAAACACATCTATAAAATCACTAAAACCACACAAAAAAATGCTATTTCAATAGAACAGCATGGGACAATCATCAAACCAATTGACCATGTGGATACTTGTGGATATAATCGTTGGGATAATCTATGGGATGTAACTAACCCACAATCAAACATTGCGTCGTTGCCTGGAAATCCCCGAGCAAATGGGCGTAAAAAAATGGGATGATTTTCTGCTGGGAATCTTCCATTGCCATATTATTTGATTCATACCAGAGGCTAATTTCATATTTTTTGGGGTATAAAACAAATGAATAAACATAAATCCCACCCACCCCGTTAAAAAAAACAATGTTTTTTTTTAAATGTTTTTTAGAAAATCAGGTTTGTGATTATATAACATTCATTTGCCCACACAGTCGTATCACCATCAAGCGTGCATTTATTCCGACTTGTTTTTTGATTCCACTTGAATCACCTAAGCAGGTCCTTGCAGTTGCTGCGGCATTACTTTACTTCTGCCGACCCTGATATTTGCTCTACACTCTACAAATGTCATTTTGGTATGTTGGATATCCACGCTGCTTCATCATTTCAAGTGATGTTTTGCACTTAAAAATATGGACACATAAGATCACATCAGGACTCTTCGAGCCTGTGGTAAGGGTCAAACTTTGAACGGAATAGCGTTATACTGAAAAAAATCCACTCTGGCAAGACCAGTAGAAGATAGTAGAAGTCAAGGTTAGACTTGGACACACTTAATTATCCTACATTCAGATGGGTTCATCATCCTGAACTGGGCTTGGACCCAGAAATTGCGGGGGTCCGGCGCCGGCGGTGTGTTTTTTCGCAGGGGGCCATGACTGGATCCAAACCGGGCCAGGTAATGGTGGAGTTGTTTGGATTTTTATTGGAAACATATGGAAAGTTTGGGGGCATTGAGCTATTCCACGGAAACTGGCCAGCGTTCAAGATTGTACTACATCCCTTGCCGGCGCCTCTGCTCAGAGCGCCCTTTGGTTTCCCCACCTCCCCATAGCATGAACATGATGACCGGTGCAGCTGAAAGAAGTTTATCCTTGACGGATCGATGTGATTTGCGGGTGCGACTGATCACCGCATTTTTTGAGTTCAAAGTCACATTTCAAAGGCGTAGTGCCGGGGTATTGTGTAAAGATCTATAGAGTATAAGCCAATGGTATTCCATTTTGATAGATACCCTCCCAGTGGTCAATAATTAACATTAATATACATTAATTAACTATATAATTGATGTCAACTTCCCCGTAGATAATGTACAAGTTACACAAGTACATTTACCCTCATGTAAGCTAACATAGATGTGGAAAACCCATATGGTTTCCCATTTGGAAAATCATCTGCAAATGGTGGGTTTTCCACATCTAGTTGACAGGAGGGTACAACGACCTCACCGCGATCTCACTGGAATTGAGGTTAGGGACAACTAATTGCAAGTAACTATCCCCCTATTTTATCATATTTTATATTATTCATTCGAAATCACCATCAAATCATGGTCCTATCCTAATCTATCTGAGTTTTCCGTACCTCCGGCGCCATTTTTCACCCGCACCATGCCATGGTCCCTCACTTCCCTGCAGCGTGCGGGCGCCGTGTGCGTCCGGCACGGCTGGCGACGGTGCCTGCTGCTGTACAGCGACCGGTCGCCAGCGCTGGAGTTGGTGCAACGCTCCTTGCAGGCGCCTTGGGCCATGTTTTGGGAGGTTTTGTATCCCATCTATTAGCTAATAGATGGTTAATTAATAATGGTTGATAAGCATCAGTTATAATAGATGGTTAATACTAATGGTTGACCATCTATTATAACCGTTATTAACCATCTATTAACTCATTAATGTGGGTGTGAGACAATGCCATAAACGCACCATCCCCCGAACCATAAATAGGTGGTATGTTTACCATTCCCAAATGGGTGGTTTATTGTTGTTTTGCCCACATTATATTAAACACCCCCTAAATGGTCCCAAAGATAGTTCCGTTCCGCGACCAGAAAGCATGGTTTCTGGGGGTGTTTAATTACTATGGGGATGGGATGAGATTGGATTGGATGTTTGTGTGATGCCAGCTATGCCTTTTTTAATGGTTCATGGTCCTAAATTATGGTAGATATATCCATATATAGTGGCATATTCATGGGATATCTTCATGGGATGATTGTGGCTGGGTGAACTTCCCGAAGTGGAAATTCATGGGATTCCAAGCCACTCCACTGTTGCTGATGGGAAACTTATGATGAGAATCTGGGTTCCATTTTTGAGTTCTTGTGATCCCTGAAGCCTCCAAACATGTGCAGCCCATTGCAGCCCCCACTTTCTCATGTTTGGCTGTTACCTGCAGGTTCCCTCCTATCGATCAATCATCCGGTGTTATTTCTGTTTTTCTAAACTGGTATTTTGGTGTTTAGGAACCACCCATTTCACCCCCTTTTCATCCTACCTCATGTTGGCTTCGTGAAGTTTACTAGGTAGCCAATACCAAACCAAGTGCTACAGTAACTCAAACCATAGCTCCCCCAATTCGAACGTGTTACCATAATTTTCTCCCTCAAATCAAATGGAAGTTCTGAAATTTCACATTCCAGTTCTGATAATTAACCCCTTTCTCTTCATAGTAAAAATCCTCATGATACAGATGCTAAAATCCCAATCCTCTATTTTTGGAAGCACCTAACTTGTAATAGGGAAGTAACCTGTAATTTTCATAAGTAAACCCTAAACCAATGATAACATCCAGTTTAACATCCATGTGAACATCCATTTCAACATCCATTTTAACATTCATGTTAACATAATCTTTAATATTCATGTCAACGTCCAGTCCAGTTCAAATCCATGTTTCCCATCCATACACATCCATGTCAACATCAAGTTTAACATCCATGCGAACATACATTTCAACATCCATGTGAACATCCATTGTGACATCATGTTTAACATACAGTTTAACATCCATTTTAATATCCATTATAACATCCATGTGAACATCCATGTGAACATCCATTTCAACATCCATTTTAACATTCATGTTAACATAATCTTTAATATTCATGTCAACGTCCAGTTTAACATCCATGTGAATATTCAGTTTAACATCCATGTGAACATCCGTTTTAACATCCATGTTAACATCCATGTCAACATCAAGTTTAACATCCATGCGAACATACATTTCAACATCCATGTGAACATCCATTGTGACATCATGTTTAACATACAGTTTAACATCCATTTTAATATCCATTATAACATCCATGTGAACATCCATGTCAACATCCATTTCAACAACCATGTCAACATCCAGTTTAACATCCATGTGAACATCCATGTGAACATCCATGTGAACATCCATTTCAACATCCATTTTAACATTCATGTTAACATAATCTTTAATATTCATGTCAACGTCCAGTTTAACATCCATGTGAATATTCAGTTTAACATCCATGTGAACATCCGTTTTAACATCCATGTTAACATCCATGTGAACATCCAGTTCAACATCCAAATTTTCATCTTTTTAAACATCCATGTCAACATCCAGTTTAACATCCATGTGAACATCCAGTTTAACATCCATTTTAACATCCATGTGAACATCCATGTCAACACCCAGATTAGCATCCATGTGAACATCCATTTTAACATCCATGTCAACATCCAGTTTAACATCCATGTGAACATCCATGTGAACATCCATCCGAACATCCATGTGAACATCCATTTTTACATACATTTGAACATCCATGTCAACATCCATTTGAAAATCCATGTCAACATCCAGTTTAACATCCATGTGAACATCCAGTTTAACATCCATGTTGACATCCATGTGATCTTCCATGTGAACATCCAGTGTAACATCCCTTTTAACATTCATTTCAACATCCATGTGAACATCCTTGTGAGTATCCCTTTTAACATCCATTTTGCCATCCATGTGAACACCCAGTTTAACATCCATTTTGACATTCATGTTAACATTCATTTCAACATGAAGTTTAACATTTAGTTTCACATCCATGTTGACATCCATGTGAACATCCAGTTCAACATCCATTTTAACATTCATTTTAACATCCATTTTAACATTCATGTCAACATCCAGTTAAACATCCTTGTGAGTATCCATTTTAACATACATTTTGCCATCCAAGTGAACATCCAGTTTAACATCCATTTTGACATTCATGTTAACACCCAGTTAAACATTTAGTTTCACATCCATCTTGACATCCATGTGAACATCCAGTTTAACATCCATTTTATCATGTATGCCAACATCCAGTTTAACACCCTTGTGAGTATCCATTTTAACACCCATTTTGCCATCCATGTGAACATCCAGTTTAACATCCACTTTGTCATTCATTTTAACATTCATTTTAACATCCAGTTTAACATTCAGTTTCACATCCATTTTGGCATCCATGTGAACATCCATGTGAACATCCAGTTTAACATTCATTTTATCATGTATGTCAACATCCAGTTTAACATCGTGAGTATCCAGTTTAACACCAATTTTGCCATCCATGTGAACATCCAGTTTAACATCCATTTTGACATTCATGTTAACATTCATGTTAACATCCAGCTTAACATTCATTTTCACATCCATGTGAACATCCATGTGAACATCCAGTTTAACATTCATTTTGTCAT